CTTGTATCGCTAACTGCACGAAAATCCTGACACGTTCATAACAAATCACGTAACTCTCATAGTAATTTCAAACTGTAATAAAAATTACTGTCACCAAAGTAAAGTCTCGCGACTTTTCAGAACTCATTTAGTAGCCATGAAACGCATGACGGGGCTACTTTCCGGAAATTTAATATATATTTAATTTAAAAAGATTTGACAAGTGCATTCGACAATATAATTAGTACCTTATTCCGACATGTAAATAAAACATGATTCATGCTGTGATTGTACTCCTAAGATATTTGTTTACGCATTCTATTTATAATTCAATGGCGCTATAATGTTGTATACAATGCGTTGAATTGTAACTAAGAGTTGCATTTTTTCAATGACAATACCGTCCTAATACATATACATTACGTTGGTAATTTGGTCGTTTGTATGCTTTGTTTTCTTTATTTTTGCAGCATCAGCACAAAACGAGTTATTTATAGTTTGAACGGCTTTAAAGAACTCTAGCTTATCACAAAACTATTCCGTACGTATTGGTGTTGAAGGAAAGGCAAAGTTGTATTGAGCTCTAAAGTACTTTATAAATTCAGAGCGAGACGTTAATAGGGCAAGTTCTGATAAATAGTTCCTATGTCAAGAAACTCGACGTGACAAACTTTACATGCTGCGCTACGTACAAGTTTTCAAAAGTAAACGTTGTCAGAGTGCCGTGGCGTATAGTAAAGATTGGCACAAAAAAGTTAATAATTTAAATAACCGCTTCTGACAACGAAAACGACACGACACTATTAATTGATAGATTCTTCGGGTAGATACTTAACGAGTATATAACAATAAACGTCAAAACATAAATTTTACAAAATATCTGAAATAAATAAACCTCTGCTTAAATGAAATGCCATCGAATCTTCATAAAATATGGTCATGAGACATGATACGCCATATTGAGGCTGAATCAGAAATAATATTCTTTAACTATGACACTTACTTTATACCTTTCGCCAATTTTATAGCTGTCTTCACCGAACGCGTAGCCATTGTTAATTGGTGTGAAATTGGCGTTATGACAGGTGTCCAACTGACAGCCGACATGCTGCCTGCTCACTCGTTTTCAATTTAAAATGCAAGATTATTGACAGCACAATTGATCGGTGACAGGTTGTGTTTGTGCTGTTAAAAGTAATGGGTTTTAAACTATTCGCTACGTGAAATCTATTTAATATGAGATTTTCATTATAGCTACAGAAATATAGGTTATATTTTAATTTCTTAAGAGTAAGAATTACTTAGATACAGCTTTCTTAGAAACATCGTGGGCTTCCATTGGGTCTCAACACGCAATAGACCTATTATCCCAAGCAAAATCACTGGTTCCATTATTGACAGGTATGCACTTAGCCTTAACCTCCGCTGCATTTTTTCTCTTACAAAAACTCGGTCAAGGAGTACTGTAATGAGTCAACTGAAAACCGCTTACAAAATCGGCACGTGCTGATAATTTGTTATTGTAAAATGAACCGGTATAGGTATATTGATTTTGTTAAAACTTGTAAAAGTACCTATAGCGTAAATGCATGTAGCAAACAAACATATTTAAATATTTATTTCACTAACTTGTAATTTGTAATACAACTCATGGAAAAGGAAACACCACAAAATTTACATCAAATAACGCATTCCTAACATTAAATCGTAGAGATCTGTAATAGAGCGTAATTACAAACAAGACATGTGGCGTTTTGAATTATTAAAATAATGAAATACCAAATGCTGCAAAACACCATTTTCCGACAAACGAACAGTGCTACTATACCTTTACATAAAATATGTTCGTTCCCAAGAAACCCGCTCTCTTTAACTATACACACACCGTACTATCCTGGTGATCATTAATTCATGAACCTTTCGGGGGAACGACACCGGCTAGCAGCTAACATTCGGTGAAGTACGTATCTTCAAATGGATTTTACAAAGTTCATCGGGGTTGACTGGCTGAGGTATTTGGTGTGAGGAAATTACAAGCATGGTTTGCTCATGGTTTTGTAGATTAATCTAATCCGAAAGCTAGACAGAGCTGCAGGGCAAAGCAAGTTAACTAATAAATGTCCGGTCGGTGACACAGTGGTTATTACTTTAGTAACGTAGCATTTGCGTGTAGGATTCAATTGCAGCAGTGCGTAAACGGTTAAGTATAGTTGCCGGTTGTTACCGTATTAATAGTCAGGTTGTTAACTCATCCGGTATGATAGTAACCTATATTACAACTCGTTGATTTATACATAAAAGAAGATTGATAAAACGGTTTCAAACTGCGAGCATTTTCCCCTGAATCCATTTTTTTGTGATGAATAGTCACCGACCTTTATCATGTTTGTGAAAGCATTGTCCTAATTACTGAAGGCGAAATGTAAAACTTAGTTTGATAGAAAATATTGTAAAGTTATTTACTAAATTACAGATGCTCTAAGGCCAGAGTGTACCTATCACTGGCAAACGGAATGGTTGACCGTACTTCGTAATGCTATTTCGACACGTGGTTGGCTAGTGCTAACCGAATTACTGCCAGTGCCGTGTCGTAACAACGTTGTTGAGAGTAAATTTCTATTGACGACAATTAATTTCTCGAACTACCAAATAGATGTTTTCGCCGGCGTATTATTGCAGACGGTAAATTGATAAAGAAAACGTGCGATACGTGAACTGTAACTAATCTAACGGTCGGAAAAGTGCTGAACTGAGCGCCAGCTAACGATTCCGTGTTTATCCAATTTCCATCTGTCAATTTAGCTTCTTCAGACGATACCAATTAGTCGCCCCGTCTTTTATTGATCGAAGTTCTATTCGCGTTTCACAGAAAACACTCGAGTATTTTCACGTAAACATATTGTTCTGATTATGTGAGAGTAGGCGCATACAAATAATATAGCAGATAAATAATTAAATATCGAATGAAGTATGTTTTCGACAATAAATTAACGATAGCACATCGAGGTTTCAATATTTTGAATGATTTTCGAAGAAGATACTGCATAAATATATTTTCAACTAGGAACGGTAGGTATATCAAAATCTTAACAAAACAGCCAGTAATATATTGCGAAATCTATTATTTATTAACATACTTGAAACTAGTTTTACATTGAAAAAGAAACAAAATAAGTATTATTTGTACTTGAAAAATATCGTGCCGATAAAGATTAAAATACGGTTATACCTTACGTAGCTATGTACGTCTTGCGTGATAGAAACATTCGATCGCCGCCATCCACAAGTCATGATTATTTTAAAATATTTTTATAAAAAGCAAAATGTATTAACCCCTGTTCAGGTTCTATAGAATTTAACTAACTTTTCAGGCTAACTTTAAGTCAAATAATTTTATTGCTTGTCTAATTAAATACCTACTTGACTTTACTATTACATAGTTGTATTTCACTTTGAACTTAAATTAAATACATCAAGGGATGTCATTTATAAATAATTTTGGTGTCTTAAATAAATATTTACTTACCTCTTGAAAATTTTATATAAAAATTTTGTTCATGTAATTTGAACGCTTTTCTCCGAACAACCCTTTTCTTTTCAGTGAGTCTCATTTTCCATACTATTATACAGATTTTCACAGAATTTGTCTCTGTATCTCCAATTTTATATTTTCAGGAACATTATAAACTGTTGCTATTAACAAATAACTGGATGTTTTACTTTTATACGAATTCTTTATTGCAGCAATGTATGAAGCGCATCTATGTATTACAATGTTTACCTTTTATGCTATACTGTAAAGTGCGTTTCAATTAAAACTTAATAAATTAAATATATCAAGTGTTGGGAGACTAGTTCTAGAATAAGCTAGTCACACGAACGATGCATCAGTCATCGTCTATGCCCATTGACATGTGTTAATGCATGTGTTTTTAACGGCTTCGGTGAAATACACATTGTGATAGATGCGTAAAACTGTTATGTTTGATCCGAGACATCCATTTCCGTACTAAAACATGTATTTTAAAATCGTCTGACTATAAAATCGCATTTGCTTCTGAAACTAGTAGTATTTATTGTGAAATTCGTACAATAGTACCGAGTAAGCATATTTACTTCCAATGAGTTCCAAAAATATAATTTTAGTTTAATACCTGATAATGCAAAACTTATTTATGTCATCGTTAAAGTATGTAATTTGCTGTAATTTTCAAATCGAAATACTTACCTTCACCTTCCGGAGACGAGGGAAGTCATCGGTCCGAAAAATCAGAATGCATTCAGGTTTAAGGTACAGTCTGGACATAATCTGATTCGAATGGTCGTTTTTGATTAGACGGTGGACGGTCGCCTGCTGTTTGGAAAATCAATTTTCTGTCTGTCCAGGTAATATCCTGTGTAGACTTACTTAAAAATGCGCGAGTAAAGGTTGTGATGGTATATTGTGGGCTATTTCCATATAGCAGGTATACGGTGGTCGATATTTATATTTTATTAAGGCGACCTTTAACACGTCACGGTTGGGTTAACTGTGCCGTGCACTTTACGGTTCTCGAAGGACTCATAATATACTTATACCGCCCTGGAATCAATAAATAACATACAAAATAAACAACATTATAATCTCAATCAAATTGACTACCTTACTACTGCCAGTTTATCACAAACTCGATTGTCAATGCACAGGGTACGGTACGACAATGATCAGACGATGTGTGGCAACTTGAGTTTATCTCTCGAATTTGTGTTTAACTATGTATCTGATCTTTGGAAATGGATTTAGTTCCTAATTGGCTTAGTAACATAATTGAGTTATGTACTGTAGCTACTTTAATGTAAATGGATATATTAAACGAAAATTTCGAAAAAATATTACTATCGCAGACGGGGCGCGGCGTTCTTTTAGCTTAGTCTTGTTGCTAACAAGTTCTGTTGTATAATAAAAACAATAAATAGCCTCATACCCAAACTTTATTGACATATTAAATACAAATAGACACATACTAGGCACTTTTATTGTATCACTCAGAGGAGATAATAGTCTCAGCAGCGTCGGCCTCACTCATGGTATATTGATGATTCTTGACTAAATGCTTTCGTAGACATACCTTCTTTGCGAATACTTTGTGACACTGGGCACATTTAGATCCGTCTTCTTTATGTTTGTAAAGTATGTGACTCTGAAGCGCTGTCACCGAGTTGAAAGTCTTTTCACACCAGTTGCAATTAGTTGCTCCCGGCGGATGAATTGTTGCATTATGGTTCATCAATCCACGATGAGTGGTGAAGGTGCGGCGGCACAGTTGGCACCAGTGATTCCTCTTCTCCGGGTGTTTATACTTGATATGGTTTCGTAAAGCGAGTGGAGAGTCGAATACCTTGCAACACTTAGTACAAGGTGTCTCAGTTTTGCTACAATTCTCACTGTGTAAAACCAGTAATTCCGGTGTTGCAAATGTTCTATAGCATGCTTTGCAGCGATGCACGTAACGATGCATGTATCGCATATGCTTCTGCAGACTTAATAAAGATGGGTACTTCTTGTCGCACGCTACACATTGTCCCTCTACCTCGTTCTCAGGGTGCAAGAGGAGGTAGTGAGCGTGCAACGTACTTGCTGTTTTGTAGATCTTCCCACAATGTTGGCACATGTGGCCGTCGTCATTGCCGTCATAAGCATCGCCGTCAGAGGGCGTTTCGCTGTCGCAGTCAACAGCTGCTTCTTCCTTATCTCTCAAAATATCTTGTAACACGACCGTCGAGTTACGAAGATGTTCATCAATAATATCCGAGTCCAAGCGCTCGATGTTAACACAAACTTCTGGCTTTTTGAAAATCTTATTCATTATAATTATTGAAAACTCAATATAAGCACGTCAATTGACTTGACACTGTTTTTAGAAATGCAAATGACAGCCGATGCTAAAAAAAGAAAAATAATAATTTAAAAAAAGGTTCTTTTTTTTGTTGACGGCATTTATCGTACTTTTGATAGGTATATGGCCTTTGCAGATTATCCTCTTTGGTGACTTTAAAGATTTGAATCAAGTTTAGCAAATCATTTCATAAATTGATTCTACAATTCTACATTTTATGTTATACAAATTACTTTAAGACAATGCAGACGAAATAAACGACTTGAATTCTCTCACGTGTACAACATCAACATACAATTTTCCTATGAAAATCTATTCACCGGAGAGTTTTTATTCAATCCATAATTTTTAGAATTACTTTTATGTCAATTTGTGTAAATATATTGCCGGTTGTTTAATACTAAACCTTTAGGATTTTTGAAATGAACACAATTTTTGATGAATTTATCTCGTTTGTTTGGAAGAGAGCGTTTTGTAGTACCGTTCAGTAAAATGTGGTTGTTGACGTGTGATTTGTGTACGATGGACGTGTAAATAAAACGTACCTACATTATACCTATGTCTACTAGAATTGACCGAGTAATGAGTGCGTAATATAATGAAACTGTTTTCTGAGTGTGAATATTACTGGGGAAATAAAACTGGAACATTAACATAAAAGCAACTTTAAGCACCATTTAAGTATACAGACGACTTCTTAATGATCAGTATTGTACCTAGTTTACACAAATTAAAATGGTGATTAAGTTTGTTTATTGTGATTTCGGAATCGTCAGCGTTTAAACAAGAGGCGGCCTAGGTAGTGCTGTGAAATATTGACCCGCTTTTGATTCCGAATTCAAAATAAAAATATTATCTGTGGCGTCTGTGTAAGCAAGCGTGTGACGCGTTGGTGTGTGTGTTGTTACGTGTACGTGTGGTTCTTTATCGGGTCGCAGTGAGATCGGCCGCGGCGCTCCGTTCGCCGCCTGGAAGGACCAACAGGCGGCTAACGCGGAACGAGAGCCGCTACCATTCGGGTGAGTCACTACATTATAAAGAACCTTACGCTCTGTTCGTAGACGCGTCGGTCATTGGTGTTGTGTAGGGCTGCCAACCTTTTTGAACTTTTGTGACTCATGTGGTTTACAAATGCCCGAGTTCAAGTGTTGTGTATGTATAATGTTTCTTTTTTAATTACATTTTACTACGTAGAAGCAAAGTTTGCACGAATTAAAATATAATCTGTTGAAGTTCAAAAAATTACGCGTTCGCAATCTTTGGTTCCCTTCACTTCTTTAAAATGCATTAAAGATGTAAAGGGAACCGAAGATTGTTCATGAAATCAATCTTATAAAATTAGTTTTTTGCATGACTTTTTTTTGGTATTTATTTCAAATGGCAACCACTAAGTCATAACTAGTTAGAACTATAGTTGGCAACCCTATCGGTGTGATGTCATACTTGATGTATCTTTAATTGGGCTGGTTTAGGGTTCAATCAACAATTGCATTCAACTTGTTATAATTAGAATTTTTATTGTACGAGGATTAAATTGTGTTCTTTTATTAACTGTTTTCCTTCTTCTTTTCCAATTTATTTAAAAAAACCGACGGCCGTCAAGGTTTTTTCGCAGGCTAACGTAGCATTGTAGTTAACGCCTCTTTTGCTGTTACTTCATAACTGTCTCGTTGTGGCTATATTTTATGTAACAATAAGCGTACCTAGTTATTTAGTACCTACTTTGCGGGCTCAAGTACCGGAATTGGCACCGGCTAATAAAATCGTGTTGCAAATACATGGTCTCATAACCGGTGGGACGGGTTCACCGACTGGCTTTCTATTTACATACGTATATTGATTTGGATGCAAAAATACGGAAGATAAAGCTTTATGTATAAGCGGTTTGACAACCTTCTCCAAGTGACATCTTCCATGCAAAAAAAATGTTTATTGTAACATTCTCTTTAATTTACGCAAGTAGGTAACATTATATGTTTCCATTCGCATCTTTAAGTAACTAAATATAACTTTCGTATATGAATTTCGTCGTGAGCACAAAATAATTCGTCCCAAGCAGTTATTAATATCCAAACGTTGACCCTTTTTTAACTTACATCATTTCAACAATAACTAATTGCCCAGCCACTGGAAACTCTGTGGCTTTTTTAAAATCATTTCTACACTAAATAATTTCTAAATTAATTGACTTCCCACTAAACGTTATTTGAAAATCGCATTAGTTGAAGCCTATGTAGAATCTAATTATAATACTAAATTCCGCACACCGTTCGAAATAGCAAAAGCTGGCCCATAATTTAGATTGATATATTAATTTCAATGGTCGACGAATGGAAGGTGTGCACTGCCACTTAAAATACGATTATGGCAAGCAAATTCCGTACATTCCCGATCAAAGTCAAATTAATGGGTCTGTAATAATATGCAATTCATTTTTAAACAATCTCCTGAACATGGTGAACTGCTGCAGTAGATCCTATATCTGGAGCCGGTACCCACAATAAAATAACGTTGCAGCTCTGTATGCCATAGGTAGATTAATACTGACGTAACCACCACGCCTACAAATGATTCATTCAATGGCTTCGTCAAGAACAAGAAAGCTTTTGCTTTATAACGTCTCCCAGTAACATTATAGTATTACTATCTTACTTTGATTTAATGTACAGATAGGTAAACAAGTCATCAAAATGTGTCTCCGTAGAAATGACACGAATTACATACGGAAACAACAAGTACATAATGATGTAACTTTACTAACGAAGCAAAAGCTAGTAAATTAATCAGTAAGCACGGTTCATAGTTTATTTTCGTCGGCCTAGTACCTACTTGAGCATGTAGACATAAATTATGCTGTAATTTGTATGCCGAGACCTAATTACTAGTGTGTTTGATGCCCTAGTTTTAGAGAAGGTCACGTTAAGATATTTTATCATGCTCTAATTTTGATACGATATTGGAGCCGTTTTTGCTGGCTAAAACTACATATATAGGTACCTATACAACTCTTTCAATAAAATGTAATTAGGATCATAAAAGAAACATTGCTCCACGTTAGAAAATTTCTTTTAATGTCAGGTACTACCTATTTTAGTTCCTTAATCCAAAATTTGAGATTCGCAGGATTGCAATTCATACGTATTTTGTTTGTAAACAATTACCTAAAATGAGAATATTATTGTTATTGTTTTGCCGTATTTACTAAGTTATTAAAAATAATTACTCTTTAACGACGTAATAAAATTTGCTAAATGTGTCAATTAACAGTTAATAAATATTAACCATGTGGATCGTTCTGTGTCCGAAGTTTCAGCAATGAAAAGAATGTGCCAAAGCTAAAATCCATGATCTCATTTTATTTTTCGCATTCCTTCATGGCTAAGTCTATGAGAAGTATAAAAAGAAGGAAAATTTCCGATACGTCAATACCTTTAGACTTCAAATTTGCAGTGAATGGAAGTGACGTGCCATTCAGCATCTCTTGTAGCATACTCAATTTTGTACGCTATAACGAACAAACCTGCATCTCAAAACTTACATAAAGCTTATTATAAAGTCTATACTGATGTGGCTCTTTTATTTTCTGTGATGCAGTCTCGAGAATTCAAAACATAAAGTAGATTCATTTAACGGAGCTGCGATCCATTTACGATTTTGCAAACTAATAAAACTTATGTCTATCCAATGCTCCGTGGTCCGTGTTCTGTGAGGGTGGTATATTCCCTTTCTGAGATTCTTTTGTCCTAATATTAAGGGCGTAAAATGCTGATCTCACTGTCTGTATATAATTGAATCCGACTCTACTGAATTACGGCGAGACAGACACGCCGATCAGATGTCATGTAACAATGATTAATCACCTTTGTGAATGCATAAAGCTGATAAGGCTTATATCGAAACTTAGTCAGATGTGAAACTCTAGTTGTAAATGCCAATCGGCACCTATTACTATGTCATGCCACGGACGTATAATAGCACTAGCAATCCTTTCAAAGGGTAAAGTTTTATTTTAATAAAAGCGTGCCGTAGCGGTGTACAGTTCAATGCGGTAAACGCGTAGTTATATCTTTATGTATTGTGGGTGCTCATAACTTGCATCCATTATTCAGGAGCCCGCAACACCCGGCTAACGAAATGCAGTCTCAGAACACATGCACTACTTGTCTGTATTTTTACGTACCTAGCAGATAATTGGTACTCCTGCATTCATCCTCTTGTAACTCCGTTTTCTCATTTGTTCTGTTTTAGGGAAAATAAGGAACTTTATTATGCACACTCGGAATTCGTGTGGATATGAAGAGGTTATATTAGTTTGCTTCTTGCAATGCTTTGAGCTGTCACGAGTAATTGATATTTAAAAACATTTTTATAGTTGAGTAATTTTAAATTATATTAGCAGTTTTCGCTTGGATTAGGATATTTACGAGTATTAGAAACTGTAGCAATAAGTCTTTCTGAAGAATGAGAAAAAATTGATTAAAAAATCTCTCGTTCTCTTTAAAATATGGGCTCATAACTTATATTGTAATGACATCACGAAATCAGATTAAAGTGCGTGCTAACTCAGATTAAATTATTAAAACTAGACGTTAATATTAATACGGATAGACGTGAAAGCTAAGTTTGCTAAACACGTCACACAAGTATGCCATTTTGCTAAAAATATATCATGTTAAATCATGTATGTTTTTGCAGTGGACAGGAATATTATTTTACGTCCGTCACTTCGCGTACGGATAATTAGTTTTACTGCGGTTGGATTTAAACGGTTTATAAAATTTCTCTTAATATTAAAATTTTAAACGGTGAATATTTGTGATATGAAAATAAGATGGTAAAAATATACATCATAATTTTTTTGGTTACCAATGCGTCTGTAACTATTACCTAAATTTTAACTTTTTTCTTCGGTAGGTACGTAATGTTAATATACAGGTTTACAGGTTAAGTCGACCTAAATCCTTTAAGAGGTCGTAGTGTCCATTATTCCTAACCGATTTGCTAAGGAACCCCATATCCCTAAATTAACCGTTCTCAAGATATCGGCCTTACTTTTACAAACATTGCAGATTTTGGTCGATTGCACCCTTTTTTGTGTATTGTGTCTAAATTTTGTTTGTTTAAAAAATAATTCAGGTTTGGGATATGAGGTTCCTTAGTGAAATCGGTCAGGAATAATGGATACTACCGCCTCTTAAAGGATTTAGGTCAACTTACTCTGTAACCTGTATAAAGTATCTAATAACAGTACATGTATTTAAAAAAATAACTGGGAGCACTCCAAGCTCAAAAGCCTTGTTTCAAGACCAAGTTTATCCAACTTCGTCTTATAAATACCCTGCTTTTCTTACCAGCAAACCAATGTTCTTCTGTCATGTGTTCCGACTTGAAATTGGACATATACGTTCATACTGCCTACAAAGGGAGTCCAGAGCAAGTTCTTGTGTATTATTCATTATACTGTTCTTTGTAGGCCACTCGTTGCTGTCCTTTGGGACCTAAGAGTGTTTTCATCTGGCCGCACATCTTCAACTTGTTAATTTAGACACATCTGTTACTTAATTTCTTGTCTAAGTCGAATATGTCTACATAGACCATAACTATTATGTTATTGATATCGATATAAAACAAATAAACCTAAACTGTTAAAATTCTCCATACCAGATACATGGTATTTATGGACCTCGTCGCAAAACTAGCAAACCCATATAAATATCCTGTCCTAATTAGCTGACCATTGCCAGTTATCCCGATAAATTATATTTGCCTACATCAATTTGATAATGTTTAAAATTAACGAGGTGTCATTAAATTTAAATTGCATTCCGGACTGGTTTAGTCGGAAGCTTTTGCCTGTAAAAAAATGTTAGATATGTTTTAATTGTATAAGCACAACTTATATGCATACTCAAATCAGTTTCGTAACTCTCGTAATAGAATTTCTGATGCATGATATAAAATAATTCGGAAAGTGATGAATTAGCATACCTAAACCAACATGGTTAGTTTGTTTATTAACTCGCCCACAATTAAAGAGAAATTGTCCATAGTTGGCGTCAATAATAAAAACAAAATGTTAGACAAATATTTTGTTTGAGCTTTGTACTAAATGCACAACATAACATGGCTAGTTTTACTTGCTCAGTTGTTTGCAGCTTCGATTATATGTAAGTAGATACTCGAAATTAAATTGTAATACTTTTGAGTCGTCTACCAGAAAATTGTGCTGACCTTATGCAATTTAAATACGTTTCAAAGTTAAGATATTATGTGCTGAGAGTTCTACTGCTATGAACTTTTAATTTCTTTGGAAACTGTTTGACATCTTGAGGTGAAAAGTTCAGTAACTTCCAATGTTGCAGACTCCAGATTTATATTGAAGAGACGTTAAATTAAGCGATGGCACAGAACTGACATAAAAATCTTCAAAATAATAAAACGCCATTTTCATGTCATTCGTTCGTTTTACGTTGAACACTCGAACCGTATTCAGTTTTTCATTTGATGGACGTGTAATTTCAAAATAAGCGATCTCGTTGGCTCGATTTTCAAAAATGCATTTCATTTCGCATTGTTTATTTGTTTTACTGCTAAAAACTGGGATATGATTCCGAGTATCCTTTTAACCGACAAATACGGATATGAATTTAGCATTTTTATTTTTCATCAAATAATCATGTGTATTTATTTATTTATTTATTTAAGTTCTATACAATTGCATAAGGAAGACTTAATGCTAACAGCATTCTCTGCCAGTCATCCTTTGGGTAGTGCAGAAATGTATGTGGTAGGTGGTAAGCTGCAAAACTGTTATGAGAAATAGTGGTAATTATCCAAATTAAAAAAAAAAGGGTATCAAAAGCATACATAAAATACGTAAATATAATCGTATAGATATATATAATTATATATAATATAAATATCATTATACATATAAATATATTTGTGACTCGTATATGAATTTGTCCTATGTTACAACAAGATGAAATATTATGTGTACTGTGTACTCTACAAACAACTGAGCAAAACAAATAGAACTCTTTTCCTGATCATTTTGTGTTGGCTCGGTAAAATAAATAGAAATATCTCTGAATATTCTGTTTATATTTACAACATATTTTTAATAAATAACACAGATTTTTGTTGCACATTTTTCAAAGTACAGCTCACAGGCTTTTCATATCTCACAGGAGTAAAGATATTACGTAAACTTCAGATAAAAAAATTAAAAAGACCTTAGTTAAAACCAAGTCGCCGCCAGCCAAGTGATTTAATATTTTGGTCCTTTTTTTTTCAACTTTTTTTTCGTGTCTTATGTATCACTATTTTACATCTTTACTTCTCATTACGAGAAGAGAAACAATCAATTTATTTCTAGTTTATTTACTCAACCATTTCCTAAAATAATCCCGTGTTGCAATTTCATTCAACAGACAAGTTACCTATATATTTACAATAGAGAAATATTGCGGTTATTTTACTCGGTTCTGCCACTATTTGTGGTACGTCAATCATCGTCAATTTCAGTGTTTTGGTTACGTGTTTCTCGTAGTTTCAGAGGAAGGTAAATCTAGAGTTACTATGCAACTAACTTGCAACACAGAAATCGATTTAAAATTGTATAGTAGTTTTTTTTAATGTTTGTATAAGACAAACATAAGAACATACATATAGTAACCTTGTAATTAGACGGACGGTCTATTTCGCCCTAATACGGTCTAATGCTCTGTTATCACCGAAATTGCTGATTGACAGACTAATTACAATGATGGACCTAGCTGACACAAAAGAGCTAGTGTATCCGTGTGCAAACCATTTACTATAATGAATAGCGAACAATTAATAGTGTCTAGTTACCACCTACGCAACATAAACGATACTATTAACAGCGCCATATTGGGAATTATACATAATGGTCCCTTATTGATCTATTAGGTATCTAGTTGATTGAAATAATCAGAACAGTAGCTTGGAACTTGAGACAAAATAGAATTGGTATTTCAATGAAAATTCCTTCACGTCCGTTTTTCTAAGTCTCGGAATAACATTACCAAGAAAAGAGGCATTATTAAAACGGAAAAGAAAGGAAGTATAGGCAAGAGGTTTTTGAAACTTAAGAGTTTGAACAGAAAATAAACTGATAATTCATTCTTAATCGATATCATGGATTCAAATGGCACTTGAGCTGAAACTGTTGCAAAATGAATTATCCGCGACATGTTAAATACCACACATAATCTTTAAGGAAAGCAAGTGCAAATGAGACAAAAAAAATGTAGATTCTCGTTAGCATACATATTCATGCTCCAGTTTCTCTGAATAAAGAACTTTAACTTGTTACCTGTGTGGGATACACCGTATACTTGCATGCGACTATAGTTGCTACGTCTTTTGAGTTGCTTTTTGATACGAACTCACAGTGAATACCCACGAGTAATGTATTAATTTAATGCTCTTGCTTTGCGACAAAGTTAACGGTTCCTTCCGCAGTTTCAACTATTTCAAAGGACGTGGAACTTTGAGGACGCGCCGTTCTTTGTATCAAAGGAAGAAATACACGGAGGTGATGTTATTTACACATTACGGAAATTAGTAAAATTACATTGCTTGCTTATTTAAATTGGACCATATTATTAATGCAAATTCAAAACTGTGTCGGATTTTTTGCGTCAACGTAAATATAGATTTATGTTTATTTTAGTCACATACCGTGCCTTTTTCCATTCTGGTTGAAATATGTATAAAGTTTTATACAATTCGTAGTATTTAACCTATTCCTCCAAATTGTATAGCAATTGTTGTTGTTTGCTGACCTCCGGCTCAACTAACGAATCAACCATCTGGAACAAACGGTCTAACTAAGAAACATGCCGTTTCCGTCAAAAACCTTAAATTCAAAAAGTACTTTATTGCGCCACGGTTGAGTTTATTTTCCAATGATGCAACTTTTAATGCAAATGGGAACATGTGCGAATTTAAACGATAAGTGCTGCCTGTGTGCGCATACAAACGAAAGTATCGCCTACGAATGAATGAACACCAAACAATAAATATTGTTCCTGCACTGTATAGTACTGTTTAGATGCACGCAACGTATACAAACAATAGACAGGCGGGCTAGTGTACACTGTATGGTATCCACTAGTTTTACGACTAGAATCATCCTTGCACTACACGCACTGAAACTACCAATATACCTATTTACGTTTAACATAACGGTTTACAATAAGGACCGTTCCATTATCGTTTTACCTTATTCAGTGTTTAGGTAGCTAATTTATAAATGTGAAAGTTTGTGAGATTGTGTGTATGTTTGTTGAATAACAAATTGAATAATCACGTCAAAACGGCTTAAGATATCATAAGGTTTATAACAGGCGTAGAATAAAGTCTGAAATAATCAAAAGCTACTGTTCATTTTACGGGAACGCGGGCAAAGCCGATAGCAGAAACTAGTTTTAGCATATTACCAAAAAACTCATAGTCATACATATACTATACAGAAAAATAGTGAAATTAAATTTTAAGTAGGGGTGACCACATTGCGGTTTCATTGCTAAGTGTAAGGCAGGTGTAGCCACAATACGATCAACCTGCAGCCACCATGTGTCATCCACTACTGCAATGAACGAATGACGCGCTCAAATTATGCTCTACGACTTTTCAAGAAAGTTCTAGAGAAATACCTGGCTGCCACACCGATATCGGTCCTTACGTTAGTAATATTTTATTTAAATAACATTACTCGTCACATCGATGCCAACGTGTCAATTTAATGTATTAGGTAAAAATTTATCTGTGTATCCTGACACTCATAATTACTACATAGATTTAGCTTGAATTTAGTCTACGCTGATGAATTACTGATCACATTTACTTAGGGTTTTAATGAATACGCAAATACATGTCCATATTTGATGACGACGTTTTTTAATAATATTCATAGATAAATGATCGCCCTTGAACGTCAACTGCCTGCGATACTTTGATGTAATCACAAAACGCATTTGCGATAGAGTCGAGCTCTTATCGACATTAGTAATAACAATATATCTATAAACAGTATAATTGTGCAAATTGTAAATGAAACTAGTCTTTTCCGTTTTTTTATGTCGTTATAATTAGTGGTTTCCTAACTCCTAACAGTTTAATGTAAAAGCAATGTAAAGTCTTACTTGAGCTGATGTTTGTGTAGTGATTGATAAAAATAGTCTACAATCTCCAGCAATGCCTTACGGTACCTACCAGTTTGGTCATATAATATTATTTTTAAATGTGTTACCTACATGATATTTATTTGGTTGATATGGTAAATAGCCACAAAGCGTTCTTTCCGTAGAAGTGTCCATTCTACGGAAACGAGCTCATTAACATTTACACATTTCCTGACCGATAATGAATAGTAACGATCATAATTTACTCATTTGTGGAAGTTCTTCAAGGCTGTTATTATGTAAGAGTTAGTCAGATTAAAGATTTAATAGCCATTGTATTGTACAAAACATGAAAATACATAAGTAAAAGTATTCATTTTAGAACCTGTATAATGTTCCATAAACTGAATTTTAGCTTTAGTAGATCTTTGAAAAGACGCTGTACAAAGTGTCACCGTAGTTGCATGTGTCTACGACATGCTCCTACACAATAAGGGTACCCATCTACCGCACTGCTTGCTTGCAACAATACGGGCACGGTGGGAGTCTCTGACGTCACTCCCATCTCGTCATACACCATACTTGAACTCAGTGAGGGAAACACAACCTACCATATATCTAGCATATGAATAGACCGCGCATTACAATAGCAAATTAATTATTAACAACATGTGACCTTTAAATGTTTGTACTTTAGTTAGGTATTTGCACATAAAGTTGGGTTTCATTATTTTAAGCTACATTTGCGGTTAGTTGACGAACGACTACGCAACTTGGACAAGTGAGCTATTACAACAATTACCGTAAATGAAACGTCTGTCTTTTGTGGTGAATAAACCAGGTTAAAATTTACACACATACATATAATTTAAATGCAATAAAGAAAACACATTTCGATTTCATCATCTATAATTGATTAAAATTATCTTTTCACTATCATGATATTTGCGATTGAAGAGACAAGAAATCCTTAAAAAAAAACATTAAAATATAGAAGCACTGTTTTGATATTGTCTGTAGAAGAGGACAACAAAAGCTTAGAACAAATACGAAACAATTCAAGCGTATTTGTCATGAAAATGTTTTATAAAACGTGTATCTCTAGCACGAAAGAAATACAAAATAAACTTTGTTACTGTCTAATACAACGAGATTTATGTACGTATTATATTTAGCATTTTCGTGATGAAGGTTACTAAGATTATTCACTGTTCTTAACAAAAGAGCTTTCTCTATAAGAATTGTTCACTCTCGACCACGTCTTTTAATATACCAATTATAAGTCAAAATGCAACAAAGGACACTTGGAGAGTCAAATTGATGTAGAATTTATATTAGGGCTACCATTATGTCAGCAAATAAAACCATTGTAAGTAAAATGTAAATATCTGTACGGTGACGTCAGTACGTGTCAAGCGTAAAAACGCGCTAAAATAACGAACATGAATATTCATTATATCTCATTGTTACATAGATATCCGAAAGCGAATAATAATAGAGAGGATGTGCATCAAACAAAAAGTAGCGTGTTCGTGTCGCTGCCGACCTTGGGTTGATATAGCTGTCTCAAGTTATGATATTTAAGCGATAACAAGCAAATAAACAGGTGAATCACCGTTTTTACAAAAAATATTATGTATTCGGTACGTTTCGTTTAATAAGTTTTAACTTTTCCAATTTGGCGAGTCCAAACGATCCTAATTTGAAACCAAATTACATTTCTACTATATTTTTATATTAACTCAATTTTCAGGTTGTTGATACTCTGACCTTATATACGTCAAGTCGATAGCTGGTCAATAGAAATTCAATTTATTTTAGGTTAGAGTTAATTAACGTGCACGTAGATCTAAGTTGTTTTAGTCTGAGAGCATTTTCTTGCTTTCTTTTTAAATCAGTCGTTAAGTGTGGCTTCGTTGGTGGTTGATGGATAAATTGACTCCCAAGACGAAATACAAGCACTTACTCTTCAGACATGTCAATCCTCATTGAGTACACAAGAGCGAGTCTGCTGATATTACCTAGTCCAGGTTCGTTTGAACACTTAGCGATCGGTTACTTTGGACTTAGAGATGACACTGGTTTACACGGTTTCCATACCTTCTGAAGCACTACGTTTTTCATCAAGAACTTTGCATAGTGTACATAATCCTCGAAGAAATTAATTCCTCAATTTTTTTAGTATTAAACCATGCTATTTACAGATACGGCTGTAAGTTCAATAGAATCGCTGTCGTTTTTAACTCAAACTGCTAGTACTGTTGGCACGACTTGTAAACGCAAACGCGTGTTATTAATTTGACACTGTTTCTATGCACATCGAGGTTACGCAAATTACGAGAAATTACGCGTCCTACTCATGCCTGCATACCGGCCCGGCCTAGTCCATCTTCATAACTTTTGGGTCATAACTCAGCTTATTTTAAGAATCTATTCTCATAAACAATGCCCTATATAAACGACATTTTGTAAAATCTTACTATGTATTTAATTCAACGAGTTGCGTAAGACTTTTCGTATATGACTTCTTGGTGAAAATCTTCTTACAGAAAATTTAAACCTGCTGATCCAAAATATTGTGGAACAGTTTATTTCCGTTTACAACTCTCGCCACTGTCATCGGTCTACTGGACAAATGTTCCGAATTTTAATGATAGAAATATTATATATAAGCTTTAATTTTAATGAAATATACAAAGTAACATATCAGATCTGCTACACAAGAATCACTGAAAATAACATGAATTTGTTTATAGATTTATTGTATACTTAGGTTCTACTATAAACAATAATTAATATACCTATATAATTTAAAAAAAATAATACTGTAAATACTATGTAAAAAATATTTATATTAAGTGTATTATTAATGTATACTGTCTACCGTGTAATTGTATAGCCTTCTTTAATGTAAACTTTCTTCTTGATCGACTTGTACTGTAGTGTTTGTGGTGTAAAGAGACTGGATCACATTACACTACAATAATCGGATGCTCAGTCAGATGTCTGCTGGTACAAAATACCCGCAGCGTGCCGATCACTCGGTTCTAATTCCTCTCAATTGACTGGCTCCTTCAGCGTCAGTGTGATGTTATCTCGGTCATCGCCGCATTCATCCGTGGTCTAATACGTTGCACTAATATTTCATTTGCATGAACTTCAAGCTCTTTTATTGCATGCTCAATTTACTTACGTGTCAAATGTTTTGAAGTTTTTAGCTTTGCAGTTATGTTGCGGTATTTGGGAGTATAAAGGAATGAATTGTTAGTAGGATACGAAAACTTTTGACACGTTACGCTGTATCATATGCTTAAATCGTGCTTTCACGAGTGTGCTTTTAATTTTAATGTTGTAGTTTAAAAGTTGTAGAGGTAATGCGGGTGTCCAAGTGCATGGGTTTTGGTTTGAGATAGGCCAACAGAGTATAGTGATGCCACTAGAAACTTCAATTCTATTGGGTAATTGATTAACGCTTTTTTATAATATGCCTTATATAAAGGGATACTCTCTGTTAATGGAACGGTAGTACTTTCAGTTAATGAAACTTCAGTGAATGACTACCGGGACCGATAGTTTTCATTTATCAAGTTTTGAACTACCACTCTTTAGGAAATTGAATTCTGCTGTTGGAAATCAGCTTTGATTCTTTGATTGTGGTCTGTTTCTACTGCTGTGATTTACGACGATTTAACTTTTTAATTGACTCTGGATTGAATCTGAGTTTGTATAATTGATTTAAAAAATATTTGATTTTATGTGCCACTAGATTATTTGCTGGTAGGAAAGCAATAGATGTTTGCATGTGTTTTTATTATTTTTGCCCAGGATACAAAAATATTAAAAGAACTGTTTTCTAACGTATTCCTGTTTTACAGAAGTGCGACAGGAGGCTGTCCAACAAGCGCTTGCTGAGATGCAGAACAGACCCAAGCCTTCTCTGCCGATGCCCTCGAAGAGGACCTCCATGATGGCTAAGAGCCCTGACAGGGAGAGACATGACCTCTGTAAGTACTCACTTGGAAACCCTCGATGCCCACCATTATTGTTTGTTACTTTTGTATGAACGTGAAGTGAACAACGACGTCCTAAAAAGTCTTATACACACACGGGTCGTACTATTGTTATCGATTGAGCTTTAGTAGCACTTACTTTGGCTTCTTTATATGTATTTCTCTTGATAAAGAATACCTTTGGGAAGGACATGTCAGTTGAGATGGATTTCCAGTGAAATTATCTCAAGTTTTGATCTATTATTATCATATCGTTAATTTATTTTATAACACTTGTAAACTTTTTAGAGATGTACGAAAATCGTCAATTTCGTTTATTTCTTCCCTAATTAGATATAGTTACCACGAGCAACTATCGAAAGAAGTAAAGTACGTGATTAATTAATAATAATTGAAGTACAGTAGATTTGTGTTGAAGTACCGAATCAATACGAAGTGGAATGAAGCAACTGGTTGCTCAAGCGACAATAGGCACCACTGCGAACTGTAGTCTGTCTACTAATGATTGAAGAATAATTTAAAATTTAACCTGCACAAATAAAAATAATCGCTTATTAGTACATTATCACAAGATAGTGGAAGGAATTCTTAGGCGAGACATGGAATAAAATATTTTTTGTGATACTGAGCTCAATACATTCTTTAATATATGTGTGTATGTGTGTGTGATACAAAGTGTAAGAATCCATGGTATAGCGGTTTACAGTTCACATAAACCGCAAAGTGCTGGGCATTACTAGCATTTTATCTAGGTAAATATCCTTACGCTCTGTGCACCACTAAACGTCAACGGGACTGAGCTGAAAACCACAGCTTTTCGGTTTACCAAGGAAAAATTCGAAGCAGTCTCCGGCTAAACAGCTTAAGCTTTTATTGTGGACTTATAAATTTTCTAAATTTATACTCTTCATGTAACTTTATGCCTATATGTTGACCACCAAAATTTTTACCGCGGTATATAATTTTCACGTAATTGCAAAATATTCCATGAAATTTTCATCAATCGATGTTTTCAAACCAGAATATAATTACGTATCGCTCTATTTTGCTGGGATATTTCCATCTCTTTGAATAAAATCGGTTTCACAGGGTAATTGAATACAATCATGTCACTTTTCAAGCCCACACACAGCTCGGCTGCTAATGTAATTTAACAGTTTGTATTTGGCCGGGAACTGGTTGAAATCCATCAAGTCTGTTATGATAGCACCGGCACGGCGCTAGTTTTAATGAAGTACGAGTATCCTGTTCACTGGTTAATTAGTAGAAAGTTTTACCACTTTGTAATAATAGAGTGTTGAAACTAGTCCAAAATAGTAGGGAATTTGTTAATGGACTTTTGTATACATGACTTTATTTTTCGTAAGTTCATCCCCTTCATATCGTTTAATATCTAAAGAAAAACAATAAGTAAAATAGTGAATTCTTGAGGGACGATATAAATACTGTTGTCGTATTTATTTTGAATTAGTACATTTGGTGCAGGGTTTCTCATTCATACATGCCGGCCGTTTTACCACGCTATTTTGTCCAAGTGTCCATGTAAGCATTGTGTGTAAATTCATAATTTCGTTTGTAAACTATGAGGAAAGAAAATGTTGTGTTGCCTACTTAAATACTGTGTGTTGCCATTGCCTAGGTACACCACTTCTAAAGTCCTGGTTTCCAAAACCTGTTTCCTAGAACAGCAACGTAAGCCATCTAACTAGCTTGTGCTTACTAGTTGGAACGCAAAGAACAATATACTGTTGAGTTATCGGTTTCCACTTTTGGTAAGATTCAAACTAATTCCAAGTTCAAGCCATTTACTGGAATGGCTGTATTAAACGCGGGGTACCTGAATTAAGTTTAATTATAAATTGTGGAGTATCAGACGCGCATACTATTGATATTTTTAAAGAAGGGTGAACAACAACGTATGTACAATGACGATATAAATAAATGTATAGTAAATAGTACTTACCTAGATTTAAATTTTACTGCAATTGCAATTCCGAAAAACATTAAATGCTGATATCTTTCCGAAATTTTCTACATTTCTGTGTACGCTTTGCAATGAACATCGAATTATTTTGTTTTTTATGCTTTACTGTGAAGTAGAGCTGGCAGAACTCGTTAATAAAATTCTTATGTTTCGTATATGTGAAATACACAGAATTACGCTTCCAATCTCTGTTCGCTAACGAAGCTCTTGTTTACGTTTACTTTATTTGATTTTTAGTTTGATTGGATTGGTTCTAGCTTTTCGGAATAATCATTTTATCTTTGTTCAGTAGACAGATACGTTTTTCCATTGGGTATGGATAATGACTAAATAAAAAAAACAATTTCTAGTCATTAACTTGTTATGATTTAAAAGCTATGATAAAGATACATTATAAATATTAGTCAGTTATTGTGAAGCGTGATTCGTAAGTAAAAAAACTTAAACACTCGCTTTGGGTGGTGATTGGTGGGTTAAAGAGTTCATTGTGTTTGTCCTGTGTTAGCCTCATCATCCGACGAAGATTCATGTGCCGGCGACACGGAGCTGCCGCCGCCGCCGGAGCTGGGCTCGCCCCCGGCTCGCCGCCCCGCAGCTCCCCACCCTCGTGCACATCCTCATCCACTGCCACAACCCCATCATCTCCGGGAGAAGAAACATGCTCCGAGGGATAGAACTGAGATGCGCGATCGGACGGAATTACGCGATCGCACAGAATTACGTGAACGTACTGAGATTGATCTCTCCGAACTTACGCATTTGCCTGCTTGTAAGTAAATTTTTCGAATTAGTATGGGAGTAATAGGAAAGGATTACAGCTATGTTTCACTAACCCCTGGTGGCTTCATCTATGTTTTCAATATTTCTCTATGTGAAACGTCCATCCATCTGTCCATAATATCCATCGCAATCATTTTAATGTGGTAATGGTTAATCGTTAATCTTTTACTTATCTCCAAAAAGCCAAAGTTAAGTTCTATGGAACGGACGACTACACAGGTTCACAGTAAAAATACAGCAGTTACGCGCTCCGTCAAAGCAGTGGTAGCGTTAATTGACTTGCCAACCATTTCCGCGGTGGCAGGTACAAATCAGTTATTGGGCAGGCTGGTTTAATACTTGGGTTCGCAATAAAGGTTTTCACCATAATATAAAAGTAGTGTCACGAACATGCTGTAGAAAATTACTGTTATCTTTACAATAATTTGAAAATATCATTAAGGTAGGGCAATATTTTTTCAAAGGTTCTATATAGATGTAATAGTAGTAGTTTTAATTGAATGATTGTTATAATACAACCACTTAGAACACATTATTGCGGAAAGCTCAACGTCCGCACTAATTTTATAAAGCTACAAAGTTGGTCTTTAAAACATCAAACATTTTTTAAACAATCATAGCTCTATTTTTAGACAGTTCGGCAGAAATTTTTACCTAGTTTGTCATATTTTTACATTGAAAGTCACATTCCCTCCTCAAATGTTTGGTCGTACTTCAGAAAATCATAAAATTTATCAATCCTCAAGTTTCCATTCAACGTCATTCTGTCTACCTGTCAATTTTGCAAAATTTAAAGCGAAACGGTCAATACTCAATAGCGTCCCTATATTCAATTCAAACTCCTATAATAATATGACTGAACCATCTTACAGTCTTATGTCATGGATTAATATTTTCATGTTACTTTTTTGTTCTGTTCACCAGAACGTATCTGATTGTTTCAAGTTCTAAGGTAACCACTTCTTTGTTATTTAATTCCTCAAATATAGGATTATGTTACGGAAAATCTCCTTACTTATTTATAAACACACTCCAAAATGACTATGACCTACAAGATTACAACGAACATTTAAAATTTCTTAGAAAAACATCAATGACTAATTATCAATTTCAGCATATTTCAGTACATTAAATGAATCATGTTTTAATGGTTGAACTCATGTAGTCAATAAAGTTGTTATTCCATCATTTTCATTTAAAACAGTCATGCCACTTGCGTCAATTCAGTTTTGTAGGTAAAATGAATCGGAAACCGTCAGTGTAGAAAAGCAGTTGACGGAAAACTGACAGTTTAAGGTTTACACAAATTTATTTCTCTACATTTAAATAAAGTTGTTTGTTTAAATTTATACTAGTCTGGTGAATACATTAATGAATTGTAGTGTATTCAAGTGTTGATGTGGTTATGAACAAGATTACGTAAAGTTAAAATTATAGACTTCTACGTTTGTAAGTACAATTAGTTTTTATTAAGGATCTATAGTTTCATACACTATTAAATTGAAACGTAACATTGTTTTTGTTAAGGAAAATATTGGTAACTGTTTTTAAGCGAAACTATTTTAATATGGACATTATTTTTATACTATTACGCTATCCTACACAATCGTATTTCGTTGTACCTAATTGGTATTCGAAGTTCTATAAATTACTTTCGATCTTTCATAGATTATTGTTTTTATAAGCACATGTTAAAGTATTACATCTTTACGCAGTAATTAAGCAGCTTATCTTGTAAATTAGGGTGGATGTCTGGCTAAGCGTACCGTACATTAATCGGGAGCGATGAGGTGTCTACTCTTGCGTTAATTATTCCATTACTAACAAACTCATCGTGGTGCACATAATGCTTTCGTTCCCGTTTTAACTCGTAATAAACTATCCGTATGTAGTTACGAACTGTAATAACATTTCGACCAATAATTGGCATCTCATTGGAAGCCCAATTCAAAGCAAATAGAAGGGAAATGACGTGCCAAATGAATGCAACGTTCAAATGTTATTGTCATTTTGATGATTCGTAATAAAGGATTTATTATCGGCAACATATGAGATGATATTACCTCTAACATTTGACTAGTCAATTTTGTGATGAAGTTTAGCGTTTGTTATGTCATAGAAGCCTATTTGCTCTACGTCATTATGTTTACCTGCCACTCAAACAGGTTTGCAGAAGCGGCTTCAAATCGATTTTACTTAATCACAGAAAGGACGGAGATTGCGATTCACATGCCGCTGCAGTTTGTTAATAGATAGATTTCCATGTACAAATAACCACGTGTTAACAAGTGGGACTCTCGGGTCACAGTCTAGATTATTATTTATTGATTTAGTGTCTATTTCCACACCTATTCTATTTAGGTCTACAAAAGATAATCAACACTTCTAGATTGTATTAAAACAGATCCTGGTGTCTATGCACGTTTATCTTGAGAGAACGTTTCGTGTATACAAAATTAGCTTTGTTATAATTGGTCAATATCGTAAATATGCTTTAGCGCAATAATTAACAAGTGTTAGTAGCCATCCAGGGGATCTAAGCAGAGTAGGTAAGAGTCCGATAGAGATACAGACAGCAGACAGTCTGTACGGAGCTATCTAAAAACCAAAATTGTTCCTTAAAGGATTCGTTGCCGTCGGACAAAATTGGACACTTGTTTTAATCAAAAGCTCATCGCTTGACTGCTTTCTGTCTGCGCGGGCTCTTAAGCCAGGAACACACTAACCGCACAATGGTTCTGTATCTTTTGATATTTTTCGTGATAATAATGGAAGTGGAAAGGAATTGGTGCCGTGCGGCAGTGGTGTATTCCTGGCTCCGCTGGTAGGCGAGCTTTAGTAACTCGTAGTTTGTCATCAGACGTCCAGCCTGATGTGACTCATGCTTCATCAGGCGCACGTCGCGGTGGAGCCCTGGTAGCAGACCGAGTCCAGTGCTACGCTCAGCCCGAGGACACCGGCACCGGCACCGGCCGATGGAAGGTAAGCGTAAGTAATGAAAACAAAGTATCTTTTATTTCACGTTTTAAGGGTGGTGGATTTGGCTTTTATGCATGTACGTTGAAGACTAATAGGTGTTAAATAAAATATCTTAAGTTATTTTCAAAACTTTATAACGGTAACATTTCTGTAATTTTTCTTTGACTTAAGTACAAATACTTGTTGATCTCTGTGCTATTGATATGTCTGGTAACAATCAACAGTATTGACTGGAATTGTAAGCGAACCGCATCGATTGGAGTTCAATTTAAATGCAATTACAATGAGCCTATAGATTTGATTACAGAATACGTTACTGTTGTTTAGACTATAATGCTATTAATGTGGCTATTCCTAGGCTAATGATAATAATAGTAGCTACATAGTGTTGTTGATTATTTTTTATTTTACTGTAGAAAGTAAAGTAAAGAACACAAAATCATTTTGTGCCATGCGTATAAGTGGTGAAAAATATTACAAAAGGTTGAAATTTTCATCTTAAAAGTAAATGTATATAAAAGTAAACGTTTGTTTAGCATTTTCGAACGCACGAGTTATGAACAACATCTATTCAAGAGTCTGTTTCTTGACCCGATATACAAATTTATTAGTAGTATTCTAACATGCACAGGTTATATATGGGTTCTAACTAACTTTTAACTATGTTCCGAATGCAATCTGTACTTCGTAACAGGGTGTGTCATCAAAACACCGGGCTTTGTAGACATCATGGCTAGTCTGTGTTTGACAAGCAATTTCCTTATCGCTCGCTGTCTTTGTGTGGTTAAGCGTCATCGGTTAAGACCCCGCACGTTTGCGGTAGCTGCCCTCTTTGCCGGACAACGGATTACATGGCATTAGGTCGAAATCGATAAATTGACTACGAGCTGCACTTAAAGATAATCGGGGTGAAGTCACAATGTACATTGTTGTGACTGGCTTTTAACTCCTTTACTTTTAAATTACATTACTTTTGTTTTTTGCTTTATTTATCTACTTTTTTGCCTATTATGTCTTATGTCAACATGCAAAGTTTTGGTAAGTAGATTTTAGGCGCATATTTAAATTCGTTGTGTGATTAATAAAGATAATTGAATATCTAAACAATGAAATATTTTTATACACGAAACTTCTCCCAGCGTCACAAAATATAAAAATTGATTTTCTAATTACTAATGGTCCTTGTGCAAACTCATTATGTAAATATTTTTTAAATACTAAAATGTATTATATCGTTTAGGTATCGGCTAAAATACAGCAACTGCTTAATACGCTGAAGCGCCCAAAGCGCCGCCCACTGCCGGAATTCTACGAAGACGACGACATAGAGCTCGAGCTGGCTGCCAACCCTAAGGATCCTAATGCTCCGAAGCCAGAAGGCGGCACCATGACCCCAGCTGTGGGCGAACAGCTTGTGGTCCCTTCAGGGCTGCCTCGCAACCTTGAAGCCGCCCTGCAAAGATACGGAACAGCTTCTTTCAAAGCTAATGTTGCCACAGTCTTAGATCCAAACGGGAAACTCAGCAACTCGCTAAATTATGGTAAATACATGAGTACTTCTTGTTTGTTAGGCAGTTTGAATCATTATTTTGTAGTGACCGTCATAAATATATTTCTTTATATTTTTCCTTTGTTTTAGTTTCTTGGTTTCAATTCAATTATGATTTTTCGTGAACGTCTTCGTTCATGAATTAATATTAAACATATTTTTTCCTCGCAGGAAAACTGTTAAGTCGATCACTAAAGATCGCTCATGCTCTGTTGAACAAGACGTTCACCTCGAAGACCAGCAGTGGTGGACCTTTGACAGGAGACAACTCCATCAAGCCGGGAGATCGCGTGGCACTAGTTTATCCGAATAATGATCCCATAAACTTCATGTGTGCATTCTACGGGTGTCTCCAAGCGGGCATAGTGCCAGTCCCAATAGAAGTACCGCTGACTCGTCGTGACGCTGGCCTGCAGCAAGTTGGTTTCCTGCTTGGGTCCTGCGGAATTCAATATGCGCTCACTTCTGATAACTGCCTCAAAGGTAAGAGATTTCCTTTAAAAACTTCGGACTCAATATTTGTTTGGAAAAAAGAACTTACGGAAACTGTTAAATATATAAAAAAAAAATAATCACCTATTCCAATTATGTAACGGGCCAAAAAATACCTCAACGGATTAATAAAACACCTCGGCGATCAGAAAACCAACAGAACATTTTTCAACATGGTGCCGATGTACGCGGTAGAGCGCTTAACACAAAGTTCAAATCGAATCTTCTGCAAACACTGCACGCCGCAGCAAGCTACATTGAATATATTGGATTTCACTTCCTACACATCATCGTTGGTGTTTCCTATGCAAAATACTTAAAGAACGAAGCGTCAGATTTTGCTAAAAGTGGAATAAACTGTTTAGGATAGTTTCTTTTGTGACGTAACGTTTAAAATGTCGTAGGGTTGATTTGAACCATTTCTAATTCTGGCAATAACCAGGCTTCAGTCATGATCTGACATCCGAACTCAGAATCTTTTTTAAGCAATCACTCTTTTTAAGCTTACAAATTCATTAAATTAACAAATTTATAGTCCTCTTTTATTCTACAATTCAAAACAAAACGTATTCTCGTGTGAGTGTTCAAAACATTGACAATTTGTGTCTTACTAAAACACCACCTCTTGCAGTTTACTGATTCACGCTAGCGAATAAATTCCGGCGGCGCTAGCAGCTTGTAGACTCCCACTGTAAAATGAGGAACCATTTAAATTGCTGTTACGCCTCAATGCAGTACTATGCAGTATTCATAGACGATCGCATACAAGTAATCCGTGTACTGACAAATCTGTCACGAAATTAAATAAAGACAGGCAATGTTTGCACAACATTAACACTGAAGACGATTCGATACATTAGAATAATACAGTACTACTGAGAACACAAAACTTTGTCTGCCATCGAATGCAACCGCAAGTGCATACATATTAAGATTTTCAACACAGCGTGTTCCCTATACAGTATGCATTGTTCTCTTCCTTTTCTGTCTGGCATGAATATTCGGGCGTCTTCACTTTACGTTGCTACTCCGAGTAGGCGCGCGCATTCAAGTGCGAAAATTGCGCGTTACCTTTCCACAGAGGTTGTAAATCGATTATGGTAAAATATACACGCAATACACATTAAATTAAAATGATGTATTCGTCATTAAATATTATATTAATGGGCGGATTAAACATTTTGTGTGGTTTTGTAAAAGTAAAATATTCCATTAATTTGCCTACCGCAATACAATATATCGAATATCTGAAATAATTGAAGCAAACTATTGAAGAGCTTTTCATTTTTGAAATCCCTCTTTCCGCTCGGTTAACATGAATGAAATGTTTTAATAGGAAACATGTTTCCAAAATATTATTCATGTTGTACACAGAGGGATTAATCAATTTCAATGACTGCCCGGTATGAATTTGCTGTTTAATTACGAGTACAGAGAGTAATATTCGGTGTATTAAATTTTAGTTTCGGTAATAGCCCTAATATTTCAACGTGGCAACTCAATATGATGGGCTTTATCAGGACCGATGCAGTTTTGAAATGATCCCTTTCTAATTAATCGCTCCGTTAGGCTTATATCGCAGCGAGCTCAAAGCTTTGAATTACAGTCGGCTTACTGGGTACATTTTATTTGTTTGGATAACAGGAAACAATGTCATGTATGTGGAGTTATTACGTAATTAAAATGGTGAAATGAATACAACAAACATTTTGTTGTTTTTATTTTCATATGTTAGTTACAATTTCTTATTATATCCCTTCTACTAGGTCTGCCAAAAACATCATCTGGCGATGTGGTATCATTCCGTGGGTGGCCGTCTCTGCAGTGGGTGTCGACTGAGAAGTTGCCGCGACCACCACGTGATTGGATCCCTCCCCCAAGACCCGCAGAGGACAGCCCTGCTCATATCGAGCATACTTCAGCTGCTGACGGTTCCGCTATGGGTGTAATAGTCACCAGGTAAGCACTGATCTAGGTATCATCGTAATCATCACCAGCAGGAATACAGGCAATGCTGAAAAAAATTCTGTACAAGGTTTGCGGAAAGGGTTTGCATAATCACCTCACTTGGCAGACAGCTTGGATATCGGATTAAGTTTCATCAGTGTCACAGTTTCAGGACATACCCGGCTCCACTATGTAGCTAGATCCTCTAAATATATTCAGAGCATTTTATTAATTCAATAAAGCCATACAAAGAAAGGCTCTTTCATGACGTCAAAATAGAATAAAAGCCTCCGTCAATCAATTAGTGGAAATAGCCGCTCGTTTCATCGTCGACTTGAAAGGAGAGAACGACAAAAATGTACTTTAAATATTATTTGAAAATAAATGTGTCAGTGTTATTGCTAGATTGTTCTATAACTACCAAGGGAACTTAAGACCTGTGTCATTATTATTGTCTTTCATCGGGCTGCCGCCGCCCACTGCTGAATGCGAACCTCCCTCGACAACCACCAACGTGATCGCGCATAATAATCACAACATACATTCAATATTACTTTATACAAGAAACAATATTTGTGCTTTAAAGTATTAATAATAGAATGCTAAGAAAAACCGCAGATTGCTACACGTTTACACAGTTTTCCTTCCCCCCCTTCCTTCCTTAAAATCATATGATATGTAGGTCATTAAGTTGGTTACCGGAATTAGAAATTTTTGATATATTTATTCATTATTTTAATTACAGAATCTTCAATAATATTTAGGTAGCCATCTACGCAAATCGATGGTGAACACTGAAATATAGTTTCGCGCACAATCGAAAACCGGAAAATCACGCAAACATTTAAATTCGGCGGAATGCCGGGAGAGTTGGAATGTAGACTGGAATTCCGGCGGCGATAACTCCCGCTGAGCCATTTACTCGTCATGGACTCGATGAATGGCTTATAGATAACGTGAACTTCATTTTCCCAGTTGGACGTATATTGTAACGATACGTTAGATTACCAATCAATATGAAACATCATACATACGATGTTATACAGTTCAGTATTGGCCCGTAAACAAGTCAAGTCTGATTCTCATCCTTGAATTTGATTAGATCTATTATATTCTAGGTCGCCTACACAGTTATTGAATGATCAATGTGATTACTGGTTATAAAAAAAATGGAATATAACCTGAGCTTGGCAGCATTTATCCAAACTAATGAACCCCAATGTTCATAAAAATATTTTAAGAATAGGCTTTTAGTAAACTATAATCCATATGTAAACTAATCCATAATCCGTATGAATTGTATTTCGTAAAACAACAACGTACTCGCGAACGAACGGTAAAAATACCGTCCATAGTCGGTTCATGAAAAATTAATAACATTTTAAATATCAAACGTGCAAAAGCTTTTCCCTGCTCCATGCTCCATCACTGCGGTTTTCTCGTATTAATACCAATATGGAATTGGATTGACACTCTCTCTAACTGCTCCAAATAAAAAATAAAACTGGGACGTTTTCGTTAAAAATTACAATGAATTATGGATCTCATCAACTACAGTCACCGGACTGTTACGTTAGTCTTCACTTTTCTTCAAAGGTCTTCAATTTGCATAGCTTTTATCTTATTTAAATGTTGCCTGACGAATCGTTTAGTTGCGAAAGTGCGTGTTAGTCTTAGTCACCACTACCATTGTCATGAATACGTAACAAGTGGATGTGTGTAACTAATAACTTGATAAAAAATACAATGCATCGTGTACTTGATGACTCTCTTCACTTTTAACCATGCTTTATGAAGCAATCCGCACTCTGCCGTCAATATACCTACCTATGTATGAATAAGTATACAAAAATGTTATTTATTCCTTCGATATAAAAATCATAGCATTCAACTTTATGTGAGCATTGTGCATAAATTCCAAATTGATAAAACTGCATGTTAAAGTGTCCGACTTTGCGAATGATCCCAAGAGCACAAAACAAAGAATGCCATTACATACGTAAATGTTGAAATGTGTTTATAGTTGTAAAAGTTTTCTCAACTCTTGTGTGCTCTTAGTTCAGCAATAAAATATTTGTTTCTGCAAACACGTAACACTCACAACGGGAGCTGGAATTTTAGAATATTTTTATCCTTTGTGAAACTTGTGGTGGCCGGCCACATGCTACCACTTCAGGCTTGAGGATGAGACTTTTATTTCTACTTTAAAGTTACTTTAGGACAATATCGTATGGCCCTTCTAATTGTTATTTTATATCGCAGTTAGGTATTTACATTAACATAATATCTTGAATATTTTCGGGCTTTCGACAGTCCTTTGTCAAAACCTTTCAAAATATTCATAGCTTCAATTGAATTTTATAGTACTTTTTGATGAAAAAAGAAACACGGAAAACTCTTTAAATCTTCCAATTTACTGGTTGATCTAATATGTTGTGTTTGATCAAATTATGTTGATGTTCTTTGGCACGTTATAAAGTATGTCAAGTACAATAACGTTTATTGAATAAAAGCACGCGGAGGAGGCGCGGAAAACGTTATTGTACGCAGGATATTGAACGAATCAACTTCACGACACTCCACAGGCTTGCGAACTGCGAGGTAACTTGACAACACCGGAGACATGTGAATGGCTGCAGCCCTACTCTACAATGGTTTAGCAACCAGCTTCACTGAAAAGACTATTGCACTAACAATACAACGCACTTCAAAACACCGGAGCTACGCAAATACCGTTCTAACGAGCAACATCACAACAGCTTTTTAAATCGATATTAATTATCTAGCTACTGAAAATGAACAGCGGCAGTACAGGTTTCCAACTTTGGCGTGAAGTACTTAGAGTGGAACAGTCTAAATACCTAACAGCACCAATGTTCCTGAGTGGTACTAGCACTATGAAACTATTAAAGTCCTTAAAGTTTACTATGATGTTTAATAGCTTTTAAGGTTGTTTTGGCTTTCAACAAGTTCGACAAGTTCTACTAATACTAAATTATAATGAAAGAATAATTCTTTTTTCTCAATACATAAAATATTTATATTGCCCTTTCATGTTTCGCAACACTTGGTTCGGGTAATTTTCATTTAGATACTCTCACGTACAACGTGTCATTACGTAGTGATGTGCTGTGGAAATTGACAATCTCGCTGTATCCATGCATGTGAATAGATTAATTATATACGTAGTCTGTTAACCAGGGGAGATACGCTTAACTAGGAGCAAGACTAAGGTGCTTTGTGTTACCAAAGCCGTTACTGACGTTCCAATTGATCGATGTGATAGCATGGCATGTTGATACTGGATATGTTAAGTGAGGCTAGTTAGACGACCAATTTATCAAATCGTCGATGTCAATAAAAGGCGTATATTTGCTGAAATATTATAACGAAATTGAATTTATCACTGAACAATGTTAAACCCTATTAAATAAAAAAGCGACAAAGCCAGTTGATGAAAAGAACAATTTTTCATTTATAAAAACGAGCTCCAACTAACCATAGCTGATACGTGAAAGTCCTTGAAAAAAAGTAATAAAATTCTCGACAGAGTTGCTCGCTTCAAATTGCAGTACAAAGTTGTTAACAACAATGTGATTAAGCAGTTTCATTTTGTAGGGCTTCAAGGGGGAGTTCGCGAGTACTAATGTGTACGACATACAGCGGAAGTACTAATTATGATTACCTAGGGATCATTTAACCAAATATTATCGTTAAGTATGTATATTAAAATATTCTCCATAGTTGGTATTTTATTAACGACGAAGCTATGCCTTCACTAACTCAAGCTCTAGCTACCGATATTAAAAATTCCAGAGAAAACATAATTGCAATACCTTTTTATCGGAAAATCTTAAGATCTTTCAATAAGGAAAAATAAAATCCATGAGCCCAGCTTATTAATCTTTTTATTTGTGAACGCGAAGTGCTGAAGATAAATTGTTATCTTAGTAGCGCTGCACTTTTAATCAGCTTAACAATATTTTATCTTAACGAGAACAGCAAAGAAAAAACTGTCTTGTTTCTTCCTTGTTTTTACAAGCCTTTTATTTGTATAAAATGAAGGTGTTTTGTTTTGATGTTGTGTTTTTATGATGGAATTGTATTATTATTGTTTGTTTATTGTGGCGGAGTTGGTTTAATAATACTAACTATACATATAGAAACGAGTGTTATTATTGTGTCGCGTGCTACAAGACAGATGTTTCCGCAGGGCGTCTATGCTGGCTCACAGCCGCATGCTGTCGGTGGCGTGTAACTACACGGAGGGGGAGCACATGGTGTGTGTGCTGGACTTCAAGCGAGAGACCGGCCTGTGGCACGCCGTGCTCGCCAGCGTGCTCAACGGAATGCACGTCATCTTCATTCCGTACGCGCTCATGAAAGTCAGCCCCGCATCCTGGATGCACATGATTACTAAATACAGGTGAGGTTATTCAGTCATATCTTTACTTGTCGCAGTTTCTCTGTTCAGTTAAACAAGTTATAACTAGGAATATACTAATTATGCACCAACTTTGGTACAACAGCTGTTTATGCAACACTGTTCGCTAAGAAATATACTAATTATAAGCTTCTAAGAAACCTTCAACCCCAAGATAAGAGCAAGCTCTTAACAAACTTTCATAAAATTAAATTATTAAATCTAGACAGCATTGTAACAGCAACGCCAAGAAGTCTTGCTACTGAAAGGTTTCACTTAGCTTATTAAAATAAGAGTAATTTATTTACGGGAGCGCTAGTCTCGTCCACTATACATCGCTAAACTAATAAAGAAAATGTTATATTTATTTTATGCTAAGGAATTTATTTTATGAGTAATCTTATGTTATTTATTGCTATTCATGAAATTTCGAAGCTATAATTTTCAATTTTGTACACAGGGCATCTGTTGCTATAGTAAAATCCCGCGACTTGCACTGGGGTCTGTTGGCCACTCGTGATCACAAAGAGATCTCACTGAGCTCCCTGCGTATGTTGCTCGTCGCTGATGGTGCCAATCCGTGGTCGCTATCTTCTTGCGATCAGTTCTTGTCAGTGTTCCAGAGCAAAGGTATGTGAAGGATGTAACTTCTGTAGATATTGTTCTCTACATTGAGTTCAGGCTTAAACAATTGTTTCTGGTATTAGGTGTGCGTGGCGATGCTATTTGCCCTTGTGCGTGTAGCAGCGAGTCTCTGACTGTGTGCGTCCGTCGCGCGGGACGCGGCGGTGCTTCGGCCGGCCGCGGAGTTCTCTCCATGTCTGGTCTATCGTATGGAGTAGTTCGCGTCGATGCTGAGAACTCACTCACTTCACTCACTCTACAAGATTGCGGACAAGTCATGCCGTCCTGTAAGTAACAATTTCATCGATTGTTGTAAAATGATTCCTATATTTAAGAAATAAATATGTTTCCATTCACATAAATGAAATGCCTATGCATTCGAATAATTTGTTAGTAACAACATTTTAACAGAGACCTTTAAACAATGAAACCGCAATGTACATACATACAGACATAGGTACTGGACAGCGGTATTCTCGGTTAACTGGTTGAATAAATTGTGTATTAATCAAAGAGATTCGTATTGTTATTTTATGTATTCGGTGTGGGTTAAAATTACAATTTAATTTAAGTTTGTATTGTTTTTGAACAGGCGTGATAGTAGTTGTGAAGATGGAAGGTCCGTCGTACCTTTGCAAAACTGATGAAGTGGGTGAAATTTGCGTGTTGTCTGGTGCAACCGGGTCTGGGTACTGGGGTCTGCCTGGTCTGACCAATACTGTATTCCGCGTGCGTCCGCTCGACGCTGACGGCGAACCCATCGGAGAAGAACATTATGTACGAAGCGGCCTCCTCGGCTTTTTAGGACCTGGCGGTAAGTTTACTTATGACAAATACCACTTTTCTCTATAGCACACTACGAATACTCCTTGTAAACTACCAAATGACGATCGTTATTTGATGTATAATCAACGATTGTTCACCCTCTGTATTGAATGCATAATGATATATGGTAAATCTAAATACTAGATAATTCTGTAACCTATAAAATAGGTATGTAAAAGCATTTGGAACTACCAAACAACAATAATGCACGCCACCTGACAGCCACTCGTAAACATACAGCTACAAGTTTAATTGGCAATTATTTACACCTCAGGAAGTGCACAGATATTTCCCTAGCAGTCGTAATATACAGAAGTTTTCAGTAAATAAATATTCCAAACGCCAGCAAGTATATATTAGGCCGCGGTTGCATGAGTAAATATAGCATGGCTTCTGCTGAACAAACTGAACTATGTAATTTATGTACACTTTCTGAAAATATTTTATGTTCTTTTGGCCGCAAAGCAAAATGAGTTTTTGCTTTGCCATGTTCTCTCCCTCCCTCCCACTTACTTACCAATCGTGTTTTGTTTGGCCGCGCGAAATAAAACGAAATTTTATTCCCTTCTGCAGTTTTTTGTTTGATTCTGAATAAGACAAAATGCATTCTGATAATTTATTTTAAAGTTAAGTGTAAAAATATTAAATATACCTATACCCATGTAAGTCTTCAAACTTAAACTACGCATCGAAATTGAATATCCATATCCGACCTTAACCTCACAGGTCATCTTGAAAGAATCTGCGTTTAATAACATCTCATTAGTGCTTCTTAAGCGCTAATTACTTCGGTAACTTTAATAACTTTCGATCCTTCGTGGCAATGAACTGGTCGTCGGTGTCAGACTCCAAATGTCAAACTTATTATTAGTTTATTATAATGGCAATTAAGCATTCAGATATAAAACACTGACATTATATTACAATGAAAGAAATTACTGAAGCAGTTGTAAATGCTTTTGTAACTTTAAATTTATAGATGTCATCATCATCAACAGCCTGTAAATGCCCATAGCTGAGCAAAGCCTCTTCTCACACGGAGAAGGTTTGAGCAATAATCACCACGCCTGTTCAATGCGGGTTGGCGATTACAAACTTATAATTAGAAATTATAAGCCCATGTTTCCTCACGATGTTTTTCCTTCACCGTTTGTCAGTAGTGTTTAGATAATCTTAGAGAGTACCTACATATAACTCGGAAAAATTCACTTCGGTACTTACTTTTCGTAGGTTTCGTACCCGCACCCTCATGCATGAGAAGCGGGCGCCTTAAACCTCCAGGCCACCACGAAATTATAGATGTATCTATAAACATTTATTTATTTGTGATATTATGTTACACCACCGCCGGTGAAAATGAAAAGTAATTAGGCTTTTGGATACACTTTTACAAAAAATTCTTGATCAAAACAGATTACTGTGATATAATTCTTGCTTCTGTTACAAGTTAATTATAATGTGTTCGGTTTACTCACGTAACTGTCAGACGTCTGTTATAAGTCCGTCACACATTCTTGACTGCACTTCCATTAGGCCTAAAGTTACAGTGGCACAAGCAAACGGTATGAATAAAAAAGGATTGACGTAACTCAAAACATTTCCAGGTCTTGTATTTGTGTGCGGTTCACGCGATGGTCTGATGACGGTCACTGGTCGCAAGCACAATATGGATGACATTATAGCCACCGTGCTGGCAGTAGAACCTATGAAGTTCATATACCGAGGACGTATCGCCGTCTTCTCCGTACGAGTGCTACGTGATGAGAGGATCTGCATCGTCGCCGAGCAGCGCCCGGACTGTGGCGAAGAGGAGGTACGCGTATGTTCCTTTCTTACTAGATTTTTGTATTAACAGTGCCACATATATCTTCTTTCGTGCTATCTCATCATCACCATCTGCACTGATTCAAAATTTACACAAATTATGTTTAAGTCATTTGAAACACTAAATTGTAGGTATTGTTAAAGCAACAGTACTCAAACACAACCAATTGATAGAAGTGACACGATGTTCTTCGTTAAACAAATTCATTGTATCGTCTCTAACTCGCTCGCTAGCAGTGATATTTGCAAACATGTCAAATATTCGAACAATCTCGGAGCAAGATGACAAGATGCAACGGCTAATATTTGTTCAATGTAAATGTCAATGGCACAGTCAAATCAAACACTATTGCATACCAAATATCTATCAATTTAATGTTACGTGAATCCAAATATACCAGAATACTAGAGTACTAACTAATATTCAACGATTTTGATCTCGTTGTTACACAATTTTACTTCTGTTTATTTTAATACAAATTCATGGTTAATTCTTTCATAATCACCTACGTCATAAACACAATAATTTTTATTAAATGTTTTAATAAAAACTCACTGATATTCATACTCCCAGTTTTTGTCGCGTAGAGTGCAACAAAAACAAAATAAAACCAATCAAACGCTTTGATGCAATTTTTTGTATTTAAAATATTCTGTTATTATTTTATATCAAACACTTTCACAATCGATGAAAAATGAATGTGGAAAAGTAAATATAATGAATGGTTAATAATGGATTAATGTTTTTATTTTACCAAATTAATTGTAGGTACATTTATGTACCTGTTTCGATCGTGGATTTGAATGTCATTCATTATTTTTTAAATCGCTTTTGTACAGGTAATAGTTGATTTTATACATAGATAATACTAGTGCAAACATTGGTACGGTATAATATAACTGTATAGTTGTCAATCACGTAATCAAATCGTCTCGACGTCGATGTAGGCACTGGTGTTCATCGAGTAATATAGAAATAAGGCTAAATCAATATAGGTTGGTGTATCGCCATACTATCGGGGTCCTCATAAATGTCGCGACGAGTGCCGCCGATAAATACGCTATTAAGTATCAGATATTTTCGTAACAAGGCACTTAGTGATAACAGTGTGCTGGCAAACTGCGGCCAGTACAATAATGATATCAATACGAAGCGTGTCTCTGGATGACATGCTAACAAGCTAACATGTATTGTATATTATGTACTTCCATTCATTTACCTGTTTTTTTTACCACCTTATTAAAAACTGCAATACAAATTTGCATTATTGCAATACGGAAAAAATTGTAGGTTGTAGCAAAACACGTTAAAATGATACAACGCAACGCTTTAAATAATATTTTTATTTCGATTAAAATACAGGAACTTACACTAACACAATTCTTAAAACTATTGTGATACCTATTCATAATTTTAAGTCACGTACATTTTTAAACTACTGCTTCCAAAAGTAAATAAAGGTATGCTCCCAGCTCCAAGCAGCTCATTAAAATTTCTGAAAAAATAATTTAATTATCCAGTTCTTCATAAGTCTACTCTACTCAAAAAAACTTCGTCCTTAGTCGAAGTAGAACACTAAAACTAACCAAAGATATGCTATTATTAATAATTTCTTACAAAAGCATTGAATGTATAAAATAAAGAAATAATAATTTAATAAATTTCATCATAAAACCAAAAACAGCTTACCTGAAAACGCACTTTACGATATCAGTGACGTAAAATGTAACGGTATTAAAGTTTTGCGGAAGAGCGACGTGCAGTCTAGTCTCGGTCTAGATTGCGACTGACGCAGTCGCAGACTGCCGGGTTTGTAGTTTCATTTTTCATAACCGGAAGGTAAGAGACAGCAATAATAACTTCCGAATGTGCACGAATGCTATCGTAAATGGTTTCAATGACGTCCAATTCATATAAAAGTTTTCGAATGCACCTGTTAGTGCAATTAATTTACCTCAAACTGTGCCATCTGACAAAAATATGCTACCTCACCGTTATTTTAAATTTTTCGTTACTAAAACACAGTTTTTAAACTCCCACCAGTTGCAGTAAATCTGCACACGGCATCTATTCAACTTTCCCGCCGAAACATGAATGTCATTCATTTGTTTGCGTTCTTTCTCTGTCTCTCACACATCACTACACTTAAAGTGCAATATTTGAAATATGTAAACACAAACATGTTGATAAAAATAATGATTGGAGTTAATCTCGTTTACAGTCGTTCCAGTGGATGTCCCGCGTTCTTCAGGCGGTGGATTCGATTCACCAAGTGGGCATCTATTGCCTGGCTTTGGTCCAGCCCAACTATCTTCCTAAAACTCCCCTGGGCGGGATACATCTTAGCGAATGCAAGCGTCGCTTCCTTGAGGGCACTCTGCACCCAGCCAACGTGCTGATGTGTCCTCACACTTGCGTCACCAACCTCCCCAAGCCGAGGGAGATCCATTCCGGTAAGACCACATTGATTATTATATATTATAAGTAGTGTTAAGTTTATTTTAAGTTCTTGTGCACTTGCGATTTATCTTTGACCTTCTTTGGTGTTATTTTTGCTGGCTAAATTTAGGTTTTTTCTACAGTTATGTAATTCACTTAGTATTTTTTAAACAAATTCTAGGCATTGTTACTAGAAAAAGTTAATCCGCAGTATTTTACAAACTTTCCCAGTAGTATGAACTGTCACACTCGAGTGTCATTTAATTTAAATTTGTTTCTACAATTTAACTAAAAAATGCTCATTAGAGGTTAGCACAATTAACATCATAAGTTAGTAAAGCGCAGCTATGCTCAGTTTGTATCAAAGGCGTTTGATGAATAAATACGTAAATATATTGTAAGTACATATTATAATAAATTAATATTAAAGTTCTTGTATTGCAGTGCTCCAATATTTTTATTTTGCTTTTGGCCAATGTTATTTTTCACCAAAAAACAGAACAGAACGTTCTAAGCGAAATTAAACATTTTATTGTTCAGTTTATGAAGCGACCGTGCTATCTGCTGAACACATTTTTTATGAATAGTAAAGCAAGATTTATTCTTAGCCGTAGCTGTTGCCTAAGCAAGATGTATACATTAATATTTCGTTCTTTGTTATCTTGTATATTATTCGCTTCTGAATGTAAAGGCTGGCAGATAGTATGTCAAGTATTTTGAAGATGTCTGAAGATAATTAAATAATATTTTGTACAATGGTAAAATTTTACCATCAAAGCTGAGCTGTGATTTACTCATTGCGTCGCGCCATGTTTTGTTGACTTCAACAAATAACATCATACTTATGTAATTTTGTGTTCTAATATGTTTAGATGTGGGCCCCGCTTCTGTCATTGTGGGGAACTTAGTGCAGGGCAATCGCCTCGCTTCCGCTCAAGGACGCGACATGGGTTACACAGACGATTCTGATGCCGCCAGAAAGGTACGGAAATACATTTCTCATATAATTGACACTTTGATTTGTCTTACAATAGTTTATAAATACTAACGTCAGTATTTTCTCACGTTTCAGTATCAGTTCATCTCTCAAATATTGCGTTGGCGCGCACTGAGCACCTCTGACCACGTGATTTTCACGTTGCTCAATTCGAAGGGCACTGTTTCCAAGGTCCTTACTTGCGCCGAACTACACAAGAAAGCCGAGAGGATCGGCAACTTGCTACTGGAGAAAGGACGGGTGAACACAGGCGACCACGTCGCTCTAATCTTCCCGCCGGGACTTGATCTCATTTGCGCCTTCTACGGCTGTCTGTACGTTGGCGCGGTCCCAGTCACTATTCGCCCGCCGCACCCGCAAAACCTGCACACCACGCTGCCCACCGTAAGGATGATCGTCGACGTCAGCAAGGCTACGCTAGTCCTCTCCAACCAATCTGTGATAAAACTACTGCGGTCCAAGGAAGCCAGTAACGTACTTGATAGCAAGGCTTGGCCTCTAACCCTCGATACTGACGATATGCCGAAGAAAAAGCTGCCCATACTGTACCGCGCACCAACCGCTGAGATGCTTGCCTACCTGGACTTCAGCGTGTCGACGACGGGCATGCTGGCCGGCATCAAGATGTCGCACGCTGCCGTCACCTCGCTCTGCCGCTCGATGAAGATCGCTTGCGAACTGTATCCGTCGCGCCATATTGCTCTCTGTCTCGATCCGTACTGCGGCCTCGGGTTCGCCCTGTGGTGTCTTAGTAGCATCTACTCGGGCCATCACTCAATTCTCATCCCACCTTCTGAGGTCGAGATTAACCCCGGACTTTGGCTGAGTGCCGTCTCTCAATACAAAGTGCGCGACACATTCTGCTCATACGGCGTCATGGAGCTGTGCACCAAAGGATTGGGTAGCTCTGTCAATCAACTTAAGGCGAAGGGCATCAGCCTGGCATGCGTGAGGACATGTGTAGTCGTGGCCGAAGAACGACCTCGCATCAACTTGACCAATTCCTTCTCTAAATTATTCTCAGCACTCGGTCTTAGTCCCCGCGCTGTGTCTACATCGTTCGGCTGTCGCGTAAACATCGCCATCTGCCTCCAAGGCGCTTCTAGCCCAGAACCTTCTACTGTTTATGTAGACCTTCGTGCTCTGAGAAACGACCGCGTGTCGCTTGTAGAACGAGGCAGCCCGCATTCGCTCTGCCTCATGGAATCCGGCAAATTGTTGCCTGGAGTAAAAGTGATTACCGCTAACCCCGAAACTAAGGGCCAATGTGGCGACTCCCATTTAGGCGAGATATGGGTGCAGTCGCCACACAACGCCAGCGGATATTTCACCATATACGGAGACGAAAGTGATTATGCCGATCATTTCAGCGCTCAGCTTGTGACTGGAAATACGGGCGAAGTGTACGCCCGCACTGGATATTTGGGCTTTTTGCGAAGGACGGAGATAAGCTCGACTAGCCACGTATCGGACGATACCTCGATGATAACTCGCGACAGCGATACCGAGTCGCTGGCATCAGCTTGCGGCAGTCTCAACATCAGCACGGAGACACACGACACACACGATGCTGTGTTCGTAGTCGGTGCTCTTGACGAGACTATCATGCTGCGCGGTATGAGATACCATCCCATTGATATTGAAAACTCTGTAATGAGGTGCCACAAGAAAATCGCCGAATGGTAATTCTTTTTTATTTTGACTATCTTATTTATTAACTTTCATTGCAACTTTGGAAGCGTAATTTTAATTTAATTGCTAACTAAATAACATTCTGCATTTAACTTTCCAGCGCCGTCTTCACTTGGACCAACCTGCTGGTGGTAGTGGTGGAGCTGGACGGCAACGACAGCGAGGCGCTAAACCTGGTGCCACTGGTGACCAACACGGTGCTGGAGGAGCACCACCTCATCGTTGGCGTGGTAGTAGTGGTCGACCCCGGCGTCGTGCCCATCAACTCACGCGGAGAGAAGCAGCGCATGCACCTTCGTGACGGATTCCTGTCCGACCAGATCGATGCAATTTATATAGCCTACAATATGTAGGCCTCGAGACCAAGGCGGCCGGCGTCTCATGCTCAGCCGACCACCTCGTGTTGCCCCAAGTCAACAGGAGCACGACCTAAAGTGACCGCGTCCAGCTCAAGGTCCCATCGTTAAACCATAAGACGTTTGAGTCAGTGAACCCAACTTCGACTTTTGTTTTATCTCCCTTCGTGATTATGTAATAACGGAACGGAAGATCTAAAGACTGCAAATGCGAATTATTTGTAAGCTGTTACGACTTGATAAGACGATCTGAAGTCGTAACTAGACTGATATAAGTCTGAACTTAGATTGTTTTACCTTTACCCTAATCCTCACTCGTAACTGACTCTCATTTGACATTATTCGATCACTGTAAACGGTCACACAGATATTACGACCGATACCCTCGACCGCAGGCATGTGCAAGCGTTCTGATTGTACAGTAACTGTATGCTACGTGTAGAAAAAACATTACCCTAAAGCTGTCTTGTCGGTTCTTTCTCGGAAGACCTTTTCAAATTCTCGATACCTAATCTAATACTGAATTAACCAAGTTAAAGTTATTTAGTTCTTAACTTTGACATCGTTGTATAGCGCCATCTATAAGATCTGCATAGACTGCACTTGTAAAACATCAAAAAACGAACTTCATGCGTTTACCACAAGATGTTTCTATGCTCAACGTATATTAATAACTAATTTTATATTATTATTATTAATTCATTTTCAATATTAAATTTTCATCGTCATTATACTATCTAAAATTAATATCGTCTAATGAATTTTATTTACCTTGGAAAATAACTTCCAGGAAACTGATTTAATAATTAGTCAAGGTTTTGCCATATTCGGGAATCTAAAAGATTTCATGAAAAAAATTAGACTTAGCTCCATAGCACCAAAGCCTCGTCAATAACTATTAGATGTATAATGCCAACAAATAGAATAATGTTAAAATACTTTTGGGATCCAATAAACAGTGACATATACAGTGTGTTGCAGCCTAGCACAGTGTATAACAGCGACGAAACTGCAAAACAGTGGATACTCCAGATTGCTCGAGCTGTCAGTGATGTAGAATCAAAACGCAGTCCATGCCTGCATACTGCATAGTTGGAATGTAGTCTCGTTAGTAGGAGTTATTAAAGGACAGACATATGCGTAATCTTTTCGTAACACAATTATATTGTTGTGATTATCGTAAATCCATGATTTCTATGCTAGTGTGTATTTTAAATTATGTATTACGATAATATACTTAGTATTAGCGATTATTGCAAGTAAAATGTATTGCATTTAAAGTGTTAACGTTAGATAATCATTTATTTCAATCGTTGATTATATTTCGGCGCTAAATGTTCTCGCTGGCGATTTTGATCTGTTGAAGTATTTTTTACATTTCTAAAAGGTAAAAAATTACACTTTTTTATTTCTGTAACAGCCTGAAAATGGAGGGCATTTGTGTTATTACGTAATAGTTTACTATATTCAATAATACGATTAATCATAGTAATAGCCGTGTTTTTGCTAGTATCATGACCGTTTTAACCCCTTAGGAACGGTTCAAATGTTTTAAAAATCTTGTTGTCTATCGGTATTTTTCTGAAATTTCAATAATATGGATGTCTAGCAAGCTTGTCACATAGGACAGTAATTTCGTTGTTCATTCTTCGTATATTCGCAGTGTGAAACAAATATAATGCTTATTGAACACATCTATTTTGTGTCTATTCAATGTTAGATCTCAAAGAATAAGAAATAGTAATAATTATAATACATTGTATGTGTAATTCTTAATGGCATGTTTACAGACCTTCAACAGATTTCATTAAAATATTATTTCTATTATGTTCCATTCCAGTATACGTTCAGAACGATTATTACATTAAATAATTATTATTGAAAGTATGTCTTTATTAGATTCCATTATTTACTATTATTATTATTTTGTAATTATTTATTGCTAAATTGTACATATATTTTTTGTTATTTAATTTTACGTTAAATGATTTCATTATTTAGCTCTTAAATGTTGTTTTATTAGACGTGGAAGGTTTAATTAATTGATTAGGATCAAAATTGTTTCGATCAATGAATTCATGTATGTATAGGAAATAGTTCAGAATATTCCTTTAGTTACATTTATGAAGGTATAATTTTATAATTAAAAAATGTAGTCATTAAATAAGTATACAAGTAGATTAAACTCAGTTTTATGAACAAACGTTTGTTATTTGTAGTCCTTGATTGTATAAGCATGTTTGGGAATCGGCCAGTGCCATCGCGCACTCGGCCCCGTAGCGTATATCTCGTATGCACACGCGCCCGGAGGCGACGCAGTAACCGCACTTGCATTGTTCCCATTGTATACTTACCATTTAACATTTTTGTAAAACTTTTATTGCGCACAAAAATTCAAAACAAATTTTTGGCAACTTTATACTATAACCCATTATTTTCTATTGTCGCCAAAGACATTATTTGGAACTTTGTAACAGCTTTTACAATATGTGATTTTTTTCTGAAAATGAATAAATAAACGTGCATTCTGGTTCGAATAATCAATTCGTTTTAATTACCCCTATAAACCTAGTTTATTTTGTCTTTTCATAATGCTTGCGCTGGCGTAGCAATGTTGTTTACGAATTACTTCAAGCTTTGCGTAGTGAAGTATTGAGAGCTCTAACGACAGATAGTGGTTTATTATCTATTAATATGAATCGTTTAAACTATGAGCTCTACAAAAATTTTTAGTTCGCTTTTAGTATCAAAATGTACGTACTGTACCTGCTGTAGTGCGAAAAGAAGCTCCATCTAGTTGTGAAGATCGACGTTAATTTGTTAGCTGCCCTTAGCCTTTGAACTGTACACAAAATGGAGAGGTCGCTTCTAACAATGTATTAGTACTTAGTAACAACGTTACAAATAGGATTTAGTAACTTAAAATATTTCTTGATTACCCAAGGACGTTAAAAAAAGGATCCTATTTAAGTCATTTAAATAGATAATATTTTTTTGATACTAGCAACTCCCTTAGTTCGGCACGTCACTCTTCTTGTCGAGTTTCCTTTATTAGTTCACAGATGGCGTAACATTAGAAAGAGTCATAAGAAACTGCTTCATGAAAATTTGGTTTTGTATAAGGGCGCGTATACAAAACTGCGATGCGCATCGCAAAAATGTGCGAGCTCCCTCTACGCATCGCAACAACTTGCGAATTGATTCGAATCGCATATCAAAATCTTATCTTCCCAAAATCTTCTGTTTCTTTTTCCTGTATCTCCTAAACAATAACAGAAGTACATACTTCTTTTTACGATCCATGTCACGACCTAGTTTTCAATTTAAAATACGTTTCGTACGGTTGACGGTCGTCGAAGGAATGAATGGTCACCCTGGGAGACCCCTTGTCGCACGAAATCGCATCGCAGCAATTCGCATCGTAATTTTTTACGTTGCGAATTCGCATCGCATCGCGTCGCAGTTGTACCAGTGTACGAGCCCTAAGGGCCGATTTTTAGACGCGCCAGATAAATAACTGAGTGAATATTTGACAATACTTCCATTCTAAGGGCCGATTTTTCAATTATCAGTTAATTCTTAAGTGTAGAATAAAATTGACATTTGACAGTTTTTAGTATGGAAGAATTAGTTATGTTCTTCGGGTTATTCACGTGTTTATTTAACGAGAACGTGACTAGTTTCATGCCATGCTAGCCCAGCGACACGGCAACTGTCGCGCTGCTACTGCTGCTGCTGCTGCTACTGCTCAGTAGTGCTCAGTCTAGTCTCGCTCTCGCTAGTCGAGTTCTTCGTCAAATCATTACGTGAGTAAGCGGAAAACCATAATAATTAATTTAGTTTGTCTCACGAACAACTGTCAAATATTCACAAGTTATTCTGCAGTTAAAAATTATCTGGCGTTCGAAAATTGGCTTCAACTGTCAAAGGTGGATTTTATTCTACAGTTAAATTAACTGATGATTGAAAAATCGGCGTTAAGAAGTTTTGATGTTTGATGCATTCATAACAGTAACTTTTTTTGCCCAATTTATATAATTTATATAAATTGGAGGTAAGAATTTAATTTCAGCAATTTAGGTAGTCTCTTTTGTCTTTTAGAAAGCGTTGTTTTACTCTAGGATCCGGCGCAAACTGAGGCTCCGTGCGGGAATCGAACCTGCTGCAGTGTGCCAACCGTGCAGTCAATTTAAACTACCAAGTTAAAATTATATCATACCTCATAATAACTATATAGTTACTTACGTCATTCTCACGTTCGCAGAAGTAAATTTTACTTCGCGTTGTCTCCGACTCTCTGACTACCTCTATGGCAGACTGGCGTTAGCGTTACTGTACCCCGAGCATACGGCGCGTCGCGTTCCGCGCGCGCCGTTTGCTCGGGGCATCAGACCACCACAGATGGGGCCAATAGGCCCGATGCCGATTCGGAGTCGCGGAGAAACTAACTGGTAACTGGGGCTACGGCTCGACGTGCAGGAGAAGCAACAGGGTGGTTTTTAGTCAGTAAGAGTCTGACACTCCCTCCCGCCTCACCCAGGCGGTGTTATATCTTTCGAGGATATAATGGTGCCAATTAATTCGTCCGTGTCCGTTAATTCCAAATATACGTTTATTACAATTTTTTAATGTTACACGGTCGGTGGGCTACGGGTAAGTGAACGATGACGACTGATTTCTATTTAATGTAATATGCGCCTGTACAAAACATAATAGCAGCAATAGCGAACGCATTTTATTTGCATTATATTTCTTGAAGGCGTTTAAGCCTGAACAGGCGGGAGCAGTCATTCGATGATTTTCCCCACTTAAAAAAAGCGTTACTGTATATTAAGTATATACAGTAACGCTTTTTTTAAGTTTTTAAATTTAAATTTTACGTAATACCTTAATACGCTATATGTATATGTAACTAAATGAGAGATACTTTTCCCTTGTGACTTGTGACAAACCCTTGTTATTGTAATTTTATTTAAATGGTACATGGACACAGGCCATTTATTGAAAATACAGCTCATAAAATAATATGTAAACTAATAAAGGAACATTGAAATAATCTTAGGTACCTACCTACACTATTTTTAAATGCAATAACTTATCCATAACTTACCTAATCATTGCTTTACGTAAAAGTCAACAAAAAACTAAGTATAATGTTGATAATGTTGTGGTCAAGGTTTAATCGCAGACGGATGTTTCACGACAATTGACAAGGAGGATAAATATTTAAGTATGGTAATTCTGTATCTGCGTGTTAAGATAAATATTAAATTCATAATTTCTTGAGACTGCTGAGTGTTATCAAGTATTTAGAAGTTGATTCTTATTTTTGAGATTTTTCTATTTCTTGAACATTTTAGTAAGAGAATGGAGTCGGGCGACAGGCTCTTTAGTGCCTACGTACTTACATGGGGCGCATAACATAAGTGGGTATTACATTACTTGAAGATCATAGTGTGAGATTATGTTCAAAAATATTGCACTCTAATTTTAATTTAATATCAAATCACATATAATTAACGTTTGAAGGCGTGATGTTACGTGAAACATATACATACTTACGTAGCTGAACAACGACGAGGATGAATACTAGTCAGGTACCAAGTTCAGATTCAGTTCATTAATGCAACTGAAACTCACCTACAGTATCTACTTACCGTCATCACTTTAATCGGCATTTTTCTTCCTAAACTCTTGAATTATGTTCCGTAACCTTTTATACTAGTAACCATTATCTTTATTGTAATGTAAATAAAATAATATCATTGAAGATTATTTCATTGCTGTTTACAATAATTCTCATTCTACTGGTAATAAAAATGACGTTGTTATATTTTTATGAATCACAGTCATTTAGGAATATATTATCTAAACATTTGCATCATTAACTCCGGGGTCGTGGCTCTTCGTAACTTCGTAGATAGTGTATTATAATTAACTACCTAGTTGCGTACCATTCTAAAAAAATATTAAGTCTGGGATCGATTATTTATCATAGGGTTCTCCAGCACATCGTCATTCTTCAGAAAGGTTAACGACGTCTCCAATTTACCTTTTTAAGGCTGCTAAGACACTGAAAGTACCTACTCGATTCAATATTTCGTGAAAAATATCTCCCCAATCCCCGATTCCTCCAAAATCCTAACATTCCCAATTCCCAAAAGGTCGGTAACGCACTAATGCCTTGGTGTTTCAGGTGTTCATGGGCGGCGCCGAATGCTTACCATCAGTTGATCCGTCGTTTACCGAAAAAAACCCTCAAAGAGATAAGTCTATCCATAATGTTCAGACAAGCGGCTTTTCAATTCGCCTCTAACTACACACACAAACAAGGTTTAGGAAGTCTACAGTACAGAATCTACAGTTAAGAATTACGTGTTGATTGAAAAATTGGCCCATTATGTACCTGACCTAATACTATATAGGTAGGTTTCTTTCGTTTTATAAAAGTCATAGGTACCCAATAAATAGGTACTTGGATCATTATTAGATTTGTAACATAATTGGATAGACTTCTCGTTTCTTTGATTGCATTTTCATTTCAATATTGTCTCTGAACAACGCCTTAGGCAACATACATTAATTTTGACATTCATTTTAATGTTATCCTGAGGAATATAACCCTGTAATATTCACTTATTAGCTAGGTATAAAAATCTACGTAGGGCTAGGGACAGACTTAATACCAATACATACATATAATTAATGTTACAATTACAATGACAGGTACTTATATTAATTAATCTGTCAAATACCAAGCGGTCACCGGTGACCGCGACCTATTGTTCTTTAATTGTGTCTATAAAACCGGTATTCGACGAGTTAATCGGTTAATCTCAATGCGTGTCAAAATAAGGTCGGCATTCACTTATAGTCGCGTTACTAAGTGTTACGTCGATACCTACTTCAAAATAATTAGGAATCCCCAGATAACATATTTTATATTATAGGTATATCTCAAGTCTTTTTGAAGCTTGTTTACAAAGTAACATTAAGAAATAAAAAAAATTAAGATTATTTCATTGATGATAATATTTGATTGAATGACTCGGGATCTGAGTAAGGTGTTGTTAATCCACAATTTATTTGCACCAGTTAAAACTACAATAAATAAAAAAACATCATGACTTTTAGAATAATATAATCGTTTACCTACTAAAATAAGTTTTCTCCTACAATATTACCCCTGGTAAAGTGGTGACCCTTCCGCGAACTTATTAGTTAGCTAATTCGTACCTGTAGTTTTCTATTAGGTACTTAAGGTTCAAGAATACTTAGACTGTTGGTAATAAATTTCACAAAGTCGTAAGTGAATTTCTGGACGCGTAGTGACCGAGCTGATCGGTCTCTTAGGTGACCTTGCTGCCGTAGCACTTTGTATCGTGACTCCGCTTCTAAAAACTCTTGTGTGCACATAATCCCGACATTTCTATATATGAAGTCGTCAATACTTTTTATTGTAAATCTCAGTTCCAAATACGTTGGTATTTCTCGAGTAAACATTTGGGCTGAAATCGGTTCGTTGTCGGCAGTAGAAACCACATTGTTCTGCATCTCGTAAAGCACTAAATAGTTATTGTTAATCTGTTTCGCGACTTTGCGGTGTCGGTATTGGATCTGACCACACCTGCACGAGACATTTAAAGCTTCCGCTATTTTACTGGTCGGGTCTGCTACCACCACAGGGAACATCGGGCTATCATCACTTTGCCCAGGTCCTCTGAATAGAAATAGTGTTGTATTTTTTGCGTCCGGGCACGAACATTGAAACTCTTTCGACACTTTAGCAAACGACACTTTCAAGCACGTTGGAATGTACGTGGCTACAGGATAAAATGCAACTGGTACCCAGTCACCGTAAATGTCTTCTACACTACCGGTATTACTGACGATCACCATCGATAAAATCATTATTTTCCACATGATATAAAATATTTTCGGAGGCAGAGATCTTAAACTTTTACTGATTAATGTAGCCGATTTTGCAAGACTTTATATAAACTACTATCAAACCATTTCGTTAACCTTTGACTGTTCACAGATATCATTTTGCATTGCCTAATTACGTTGTATTTGTAAATTAAATTATTCATTTTGATTTTTGCAGTATCTACTTAATAATAATTTTGGTTTAGGTGGTTGACCTCTTTTGTACCTATACATAGCAATGCATTATTCGATGTGCGTGTATGTAAACAAATAGATATCAATTTTCTCGTAACACTAACTTTATTTGTAAACCTCAGGTCCCATTATCAGACATACTTATATAGGTACCTACTCTTGATTTATTGATATGAAAGGATATATTGATTAAAATAATTGTATGACAGAGGTTGATGGAAAGAAGATACACAAGTGTCCGAAAATATTCTAATTCTAAGTCACTTGTTTCACTTGTTTAGCAATGCGATTCTGTAACACACCAAATCGATATCGAAGCTCGAAAGAACTATTTTAATAGTAAATACACTCGATTTCGGATTCGTATTCTGTAATAACAACTCAAAAGTATTCAAAACATCATAATCCACTCGAAAATAAAAATAGGATTTATAGATAGCGCAGTCATTTTTGAGATTTTTGCCTGAAACATTTTTTGGGAGTTTTACGAAATTGAGCTAGCCACAATTTTTTAAAATGTAGGTGAGAGAGTTTTTTCCATAAAATAAATAGTTTTGGTACTAGAGCACCACAATCTTAGAGAACATTTAGGAAAATGAATTGGGTATGTGTACTTTCGAAATTTTGCATAATAAAAATTTTGGGGATGCGAGAGATATCTCCCTATTTAATTCACTTAGCTCAATTAGACTGACCTAAATAATTCAGATGAAATGCCTAAAGAGTCACAATCGTTCTACGAATATTTTAAACACAAAATTATTCGAAATTGACAAGTCGCTCACTGGCATAGAGCAAGTATTAACATTTGCAAAGAGTCTGATATTAAATACCAAATCAAAAAGTACGAGTCGTATAAAATCGTAGAAAGGTCAAAACTGTACATTCAATATTTTTTAAAGGAATACTTGGTGCATAATCTACAATCGATACCGAAACCAAAAATATAGTTTTTGAAATTTTTGCCTGTTTGTCTGTATGTATGTCCGGGCTAAACTCAGAAAGTACTGCAAAGATATTACAAACAGGCCAGGTCAACATATAGGCTACATATTATCACGCTATCACCTACGGGAGAGGAGCTGTCAAGAACTATCCAAAGTCACCATTCCACGTAGTCGAAGTCGCGGGCATCTACTAGTTAATACTAAATATAAAACTACGCTTCACCTTTTATTCCTTACCTAAATGAAAAAATTATACAAAGTTTGAAAATATGTTTTATATTATAGCTCAGTCTGTGAGACCGTCATTTCATTTCATTTTTCATTTCATTTTTTAAAAAAACGTTGCCCCACACTAGGATTGTCTCCTGTGTCGTGAGTGCGTTTACAAACATACAAGTTCACATACACATGACACCCAGACCCGAAACAACAATTTGTGGATCACACAAAGTGTTGTTCGGGCGGGAATCGAACCCGCGACATGTTGCACGGCAGCCGGTTGCCCAGCCACCGCACCAACCGTGCAGTCGAAACCGACCGTTATTTTATGAACATAACATCACGCCTTTTTATCCCCGAAAGGGTAGGCAGAGGTACACATTACGGCACTTAATGCCACTGTACAATGTAATACCCACTTGTCACTATGTTATGATTCCTATGTAATAGAGGGTGAGCTTATTGCCATATACCAGGCACAATTCCAGACTCCGTGCTACTACTGAGATTTTCTTTTAAAAACCCAGTATTACTTTGCCCGACCCGGGAATCGAACCCTTCGCCCGGTAGTCGCACTTGCGACCAACGACGCAGTCGCAGTTATTTTATGAACATTTGTGTAACACTAAAAAAAAATTTGAGCTGATTTGAATTGTGTGGTACTGTCCCATAGTCTCATCGTAAACCCATTGGAGAACAAAGCGACTATAAATTAAATATGACATCCAGATATTATACTTAATTAATTTAATTATATATTATACTTAGGTATTTATTGAACTATTTTCATCAGCTGTTGCCATTTGACTGTAAATGCCCGTTCTGGCGTTCTTCTGTAGTCCTGTTTTCCAAGGGAATATTTTGCTTGAGAAACAGATAGTCGGTTGAGTGGTTAGAATAAAACACAAACAAAATAAGAATTTCGATGTTTAATTCACAAAATTCACACACACACGCGAATTACACACTAGTCTCATGGATAAAAAAGTTCAAAAACTTACATTAAGTACATATTTTTCATAAAATGTAGACGTACTTAAAGTTTTTACACATTTTACATTACGCACACATGACACAAATACTTATTAATTTAAAATAACAATATTCGCATAGAATATTTTAGACATTTAGACAGTGATTATCTATTAACTACGTCCGAATACAATAATTAGAAAAGGTTTTCTACTATACAAACAAATGTGGTAGCTAAGTTGCTAGCAGACATGCACAAAGTTAATTTCCATGGTTAATTTGAAAGAAACAGTTAACTTTCGCATTTGCACAGGCATCATGACATTTCGCTACGCTATGTATTATTATATTATTAGGTATATTATTGCTACACTATATAAATATATGCTTATAATCTACCACTAGTAAAATATACACAATAGACAGCTTTTCTATTGTTCATTTGCGGTTGCATACAGGGTGACTTGTAATTCGAATTCGATATATTCCTCTCGGTACTAATTTACTTGCTATTTTAAAACGAATTATATTTCTGTAAGTATTAGCATAAATAAATGTTTATTGATGTATTTAGCACAAATTAATAGTAAAATCATTTAAATCGAACCAGTAGTTTTTTATTTATTGATGTTTTTGTAGTTAGATCGGGATTTTTTGACCAAAACCGAAAATATTGAATATCTCAGAAAGTAGCAAGGAGCATAGGGCGAATGTTGTAGGAAATTACTTGTATTATCCGAGAGGAATACATCGAGTTACAATTTACGCTTTATAGGTATAGATTTATCATCACTACATAGTATAAAACAAAGTCGCTTTCTCTGTCCCTATGTCCCTTTGTATGCTGAAATCTTTGAAACTACGCACCGGATTTTGGGACGTATTTTTTGCGGCGTTGATGGCCGCGTTTCGTCCTAGAGCACTTCATGACTTGCAACGATCGCACGCGTTTATCGGAGCTCTCTAGCGAGGTAAATATCAATATTAATATATTATTATTAATTGTCTAATGACAAAATAGAACGTGGTGTATAAGGACAAGGACATTTTGTAGTAGGTATTTTTATATAAGTATTGCACTCGTGCGAAGCCGGGGTGGCTCGCTAGTTATCTATATATAAAAATGAAACCCGTTTCCCGTTGTCACGCCATAACTTGTAAAAGTGTTTAAGTCGGCCATTCACAACAGCCTGTATTCACAGGTGGGTCCTTTGCTGTCGGATGCATAACATGGCTTTCGTCCTGGGCGGGGAACGACGGGGAACTTGCTGGATCTTATGACACACGTTGTACCTGCGGTGGATGCTGGACAACAGGTGGACGTAGCCTACTTTGATTTACAGAAAGCCTTTGATGCCGTAGATAATGATATCCTTCTGTCAAAGCTGGCCAGTGTAGGCTGTATACCGCACACATTGACATTCTTCTCAAATTACTTGAGAGACCGATGTCAGTACGTTGACTGTGGCGGAAGTCTTTCTGAGCCCTACTTTACTAGGTCAGGGGTAAGCCAGGGAAGCAATTTGAAGGCCTATATTTAGCCTACTTTTCATTTTAACCATAAATGATTTGCCGAGCATAGTTAATGCATGTGGAGTTCCACACAGCTATTATTTGCTGACTACCTAAAATTAATTTTAAAAATAAAACAAACAGAGGATCATTACATTCTACAACAGGATATAGCTAACATTGGGGAATGGAGTATAGAAAACCGATTATTTTTCAACGCTGCCAAATGTTTCGTGTTATCGCTTAGCCGAGTAACCCAAGTCATCACCAATAATACCGCATGGGCGGAAGGCCACTGCAGCGGGCCTTTGAGGTCAGGGAAATGGGTGTACGCTTTACTACTGGAATCGTATTACGTTTAGGTAACCAATTTACTAACTTTAATGCATTGAAAGCACTGTATGAAGCCCTTGTAAAAAGTCATTTGGAGTGTAATGCCGTTGTCTGGTCACCGCATGAAGTCAAGTACAGACTGATGATCGAGCGTATACAAAACAAATTTGTTAGGTTTTTGTACTCAAAAATGTATGGTGTTTATCTGGGTAACTCGCTGTTGTATCCGACTCTCTTTGTATTGGGCAGGGTGGGATATTTTAAAATTGAGTTAAAGAGGGAAGTAGATGTCGCCACTTACTTATTTAAAGTGCTTCACGGCAAAATACATAATCCTATGGTTTTGGAGATGATCCAGTTATGTCACAGTATAAATATATACTATGGTTATGTGTACCGGATGCATACGCGGCGCGCCGGCGCAAGCCAGCGCTGCTGGCGATACCACGCGCACGCACCAACCTCCTACATCGCGCGCCCCTGACGCGGGCGCTGCGGACGCTCAATGTGATGTCGGAATAGGTACATTGACATATTTAATTGTACAGTTATATAATAGTATAGGTATAGTTACTTTTATCCTTTTATGACGCGAGCGAAGCCGTGGGTAAAAGCTAGTAAATAAATAAATAAAAACTTCTAAGACTTAAAAAAAACTTGAGAACGGCCAGACCGATTTCGCTGTTTTTTTTTTGTTGTGTTTGTTATCGCCAGGGGAAGGTTCTTATGACAGAAATAAGTCCTGAAAATCCTACGGGAATTGGAGAAACGGGATTGCGCATACAAAGTCGCGGGCAGAAGCTA